AAGTGGAACGAACGGATGTGCCACAAACAGTGGTACGAGCTATACCCAAACCGGGCACTAAATGCAATAAGCATGCTCAGCATACCAAATGCAGCTGAATAGCTAAAATATATGAAAATTAATAAGAATATTCTATTAAAGATCAGAGTCACGTTTTATTTTTGTCGCCCAGACATTTCTAGATTTCACAATTATTAATTCGAATGCCCGATAACTGTTACTTTCTATTATAATCAAATGCTAGTTGAAGCATTCAAACAGTAAATGGAAAGAATATTTTCCTCAAACTGTGCATCGCAATCATCAACATAAATACTCATCATGAATATGGCCTGATACACAGCCTGTTAATCTGGAAACCTCCAATGCCAAACCAAAGATAAAACCAGTTGCGAATTGTAAAACCCACCTCTGTCTTTTCGTTAGTTTCACATAGAGATAAGTATATACCAAAGCATTCCTTTCAAAAACTATTCACCAATATAAACTATGCACGTATGTGAACTTTAAATAATCTTGTTTTTATTATGTCACCTAACCAGAACTCGACCCTCTTAAAACCACTTAAGATGTAAATACTTATTGGAATCATCTTCTTCAGCTGCTTTTTTTTTTGTACCAAAACTCGTTCGGCTCACTGTGCGCGGCGGGCACTTAAAAAATTGCATTGCCCGAGACTACCAAACAGCGTCTCTGTGCCCCCGTTTTTAGAGTCCGCCCCAGTCTTTGGCCGTTGTTGAGTTGTTATGGCGTCGCATTTTCAAAAGGGAGCCCCACAGTCAACGTAATGCTCCGCTTACTTCCTCGTAAGCGCAAAAAAAACCAAAAAAAACAACATTAAATTCAAGCAAAGGCACCAACAACAAACACATAATACACACACATCGAAGCTTTCAATTTGCACAAAAACTTCACATAAATTACATAAGATGACCAAAAAATAAACAATAAGAGTGAAGACCAACTTACAGAAGACAACAAAAAATCGGGCAGACTTCCAGCTCCAAAGGGAGCAGCAGAAACAGGTTCAGTTTTTTCCCCCTTTTTTTTTAAATTTTTTTTTTGTTCATTTCGGGCAACGCAACGCAACTGACCAACTGACCTTGAGCCAGGCGCGCTTATGCAATGCCATCTTCAATCTTCTGACAGCTGCTGGAGGAGCTCTTGCTGGACCACACGACAAATTGCAGTTGCCGTGCGAGTATTGCAAAATGTACAAATTTGAAATACAGAAAGCCCAAGATCGCATCTCAAATGCACGAGCGACAGCGACAACAATAACAACAACAATAACTTGTCCCATAACCGAAAAGCCAGATCCAAAAGCCCAAAACGACGCGCTTTCTGCGCCGGCGTCGCTGCCACCTTTGCTGCCCGCAAGTATGTGTGTGCGTGTGTGTGTGTGTGTGCGCGCTCAAGTGTGTTATAAAAGCAACTCAACCTGGTTGCCAACAAGCCATAGTACAAAGTCTACTTGCAGCGTGCAGAGCTCGCGAATAACCCATCCACAACTTACAAATCGAAAAAGAAAACAAAAAAGAAAATGTTGAAATTCGTGTTGTTTGCCAGCCTGCTGGTCAGCGTTGCCGTAGCCGCACCCGTGAGTGAAAAATAAAGAAAACAATAGGAAATATTACATTTGGGATTTAATAGTTCCATTTAAAAATAAAAAACTTGTTGCCAATTGTTCGGCGCACGAGTTAGGAGCGCACGCATTTGGGCCGCTTGGTGCTGCGATCTGTTTCGCATTTCTCGAAGCTGCCGCACTTGACATTGCCACAGTATGTGCCCGTGGAGCCAGCTGCAAATAGAATAGAACAATTGCTATTTCCAGCTAAGGCGCCCGGCCACTACTCACAGTTCTTGCTGCCAAAGGGCGAGCTATCCGCGCCCGAGTTGCCCAGCAGATTGGGCGATGCACAGCTGCGTCCGTTGCACAGATTTGGACAACATTTGCCGCCAATGGCGCTGCACTCGCTGTCATGCAGGCACTTGGGCGTGCAGTTTGTCACCTTGGTCGATGAGGGGCAGTCTGCAAAACGAAAATAGACAATAAAGTTGGCCCCCAAACTGCTCAAGCCATTATGGCCATGACTTACCGCCGGCCGCCAGTGTAACAGCCACACAGGTGCCAATCACCGCCAGCAACAACAGCAATAAACCAGGCTTGGCTGCAATTACAGAGAGAGAGCGAAAGAGCGAGAGTGATAGTGTCTGAAAGTCTCGAACTGTCGATTTACGTGCCCATTTTCCTCGTATCTTTAGTTGAACGTCCGCTTCGTGGCTTTAGTCAGCAGCGACTGGCGCCGGTTCGGCTTTATACTTTTGCCCAGGCCGGGCCGCACCGCCTACTATCCGAACCAGTTTCAGGTTGCTGTCAATTTTGTCGCTTTGTCTCGTGATTAAATGCACAAAAACACCAAGCAAAAACAATGACAATCTAGAAAGAAGTGGCTTTCTTCGGCACGCCGAAGATTGCATACCCTTCTTATACAAACTTTTTACTACCGACAGATTCCTTCTTGCAATAGGTAAGCATTTTCCAATAAGGCAGGACCACAGTGAAGCTTTAAATGCCAAGTTTGATGAAAATGTATTGAAAAATTAACAAGTTTCGTCCGATCGGTCCTTTGGCAGCCACTGATATAGTGCAACAAAATTTAAAGACCATATCTGATCAGAAAGATATATACTGAATTCGCCAGGCAATGTCTCCTTCGATGCTTTACAAATTCCATGAGTATATTATAATACTTTCTGCTAGGGTATTAAAACAACGGCACTTATCAATTTGGCATTGAATATATACAGTATAGTCTCAAGATTCGACTAGGGACATTCGCGAAGAGCGCTACAAATTCAAAAATCACATAAATCATCTGAAGTAGCTTTAACCTCAAGATCAAGAATATCCAACTATAGTTCCCTGAGAAGTTGCAAGCTCAAGAATTTTTAATTAAAGTCCCTGAGTGTTATATTAGTTGAGAAAACCAAATCGTAATGCAAATGCAATCAATAATCATTATTATACAATTAGAATGCGTTTTCTTAGGTGCTTGAATCCGTCAAGCTTTGTGGGATACATACCTGAGCATATCTAAAGACTTTGCATTTGCTCCGCAATACATTTTCTTTTTAATATTTATGCTACTTCTATAACGACTTGTCCTTATAATATTATTTGAAGTAAACTCTTCGAAAGATCAGGTGCGAATACCATATTGGAATATGAATGTTGTATATTAGCAGGGGCCATTAGAGATTGTTATTAATGTGAAATGCTAATAATTGGTAATAAAATAAATTTTACTATAGATACAATAATATTATTATTGTTCCTTAACTGATTTCCCAATCAACACTTCAAGTTCCGCGTAGTGTAGCTCATATTGTTGACTTGCTAAACCGATCTGAAGTGAACAGCTTCGACATATCTTTCAATTAACATTTCCGCTCATGCATTTAAGCATGCTGCCCTCAGCGACATAAGACAAATTAAAAAAAAAATGTGTGTTGTATACGACGGTGCCGAACTAATACCCTGCATGCAGCCAAAAGATTTATAAAAATGTGAATTATTCGAGAAACTTCATGCCAAATGTGATGCGTTGATATTGGAATGCTTGAAAAATGTTCTATTAAAAAACGATATATATCGATCATTTGATATGAAAACATTTATAAGAAAATCGAGAAATAAATAGCCTTCTTCTGCGTAACTCTAAGCCTATCAGCCTGTTGTCCCGATCACGTTCATATATATATATGCCTCGATCATATACATACATATATATCTATATCTATATCTCACTACTTGTTACACCTGTAGAACAGAAACCTATATACCTTTCTAACCAATAGTAATAGGGTACAAGGTACAAAAAGCTTCAGGCGAAACGTAAAATAAATGCAAAACAAGCAAATCGCAACGAACTCGTTTATGCAACCTCCACTGCGAGAGGCCCTCAGTGGGAGGTCTTTTGAAACCGAGAGTGACTCACAGAGTCGCTGTCACAGACATATTCAAAAATCTAACGCTATCGATAACAACGAATATTAACAATGTAATAAATGTTGCTGAATAGACAGCTGTCTGTCTGTGCGACTAGATACTAGATAATGACTTCGTTAGAAGCGAAATGACTTCACGTTCATCTAACTGTCTAACTGCAACCTTTTATGTTTTCTCTCACTCGCAGGTCGAAGACCAATTAAATGCCGAGGAGCAGAGAGCTTTAGAGGCAGAGCAGAATGCAAATGCCCAATACCAGTTTAATTCTAACATCGATGACAAAATAAACGATGGAGCAATAACGCGCGAAGAGTCACGCGATGGTACTAAGGTGACCGGCTCCTACAGCTACACCGACGGCTTCGTGAAGCGAACTGTCCACTATGAGGCCGATGAGAATGGTTACCGTGTGGTCAAGGATGAAATGCAGGACATCGGTGACGGTCCCGTATTCGATGAAAACGGTCAGGCCGATGTGGAAGGCTCGTTGATTGGAAAGTACTCGATCAAGCTGGACAACAGCAGCGACAAGCAGCATTACAAAGGCACTAACGAACACCTCTAGGCAATCGATCAGTATGTCTAAGGGATGGTTTCTAACATTTAGAAAAGAACTGAATACAGTGTAAAATAAAAATCAGAACAGGTCTTAACTAAACTATGTTGTTATTGTATTAAAAGTCAAGTAAATACGAAAGTTTCTCAACAAAAACGATTGTTTACTTTGCGATCTTTTAATCTATCGATCCTTTTACTAATATTTTCACACTTCTACTTAATATCCTTTACTACAATATCCCTGCGAGAGAATGTATCCTTTATTATATTTGCTCAATATGTGTAGCGTGTTGATGTTGGGATCTTCGACCCGATAAAGTATATCAATCAATATTTTTACTTTTGTCGCAGTCGATTGGATCAGATAAAAAAAATCTGATTGGAGCCAGAAGAACTATTCTATTAAGCTTTCTTGTTTTGAAAAATACCTGTACCTTTCTTAAAGGCTTAAAGATTTATTTAAAACGTGTCTTTTTTCTTATCAACATAATTAAAATTAGCGTTTCTTATGCATCTGCTCGCGATTCTTGCGCTTCAAGGCAGCCCGTCTAGATCCACCGTTTGTCTGCGAGTATCTGTAACCCTTTCCTATGCCACGGGAACTCTTGGCGGCAGAGGTCAGCCCACGGAGTTCGCGGTGCTTGTGCACATGCTCGCACATCCAGTTCATTCTGGGGTCACGACGAATGCCATTGTGATGAATATCCACCAAAATGACTTCGAAATATTTGTGGGTAGCGTCCTGCGCCACCCAGTATGAGTTGAGGACACGTAAGCCGCCAAGTCTACGACCAACACGCTCCTCGGCAATAGCCTGCAGGCCACGATATGGCTTTAGTTCATTTACACCATGTCCTTTCGGCTTTCCATATGTGCATCCCTTAGGCACTGGCCGCTTGCGACCACCACGGCGAACTCGAATTCTGTAAATGACAAATCCTTGCTTGGCGCGGTAACCCAACCGACGAGCTTTATCCGGACGCGTAGATCCAGTCGAACGGTGCAACTTCGGCAAATGACGGTACTGCCACACACGGATCCGCAGCAAGTAACGCAGCACATCACTCTGCTTCTTTCTATACAGCTCTTGAATAAAACGGTGGGCAGCCATATCTAACTGAATTTAAGTTCTATTTCGCTTAAAAGACAACACAAATTCCAAAGAAAGTAATTGAAGCTGAGTTCATAGACAACTTCGATTTGCATACCTCCTCCGATCCCATAAAGTACATACTGTATTCATATTCCGAGTCAATATGGTCGATAATTCAAACTTATGGCTCAGTTTTGATAGTATCTTGATGGAAACTTGGCTTACATATATTCTTATTGCAGCACTTCCTACATTATTTGATCGGATATTAAGATCGGACTTGTGAAGCATACAGCTTCCATAGAAACGATCTGTCCGATAATATTATATGTATTTGACTTGGTACTGGGTGCGGCAACATTCAAAGTTTGTGAGTTCTGTTAATCTATTAGACCCCAAAATGCAGAGGCTTAAACCAGGTTCAGTTCAGTTAAAGCTACTTGTTTAATATAAAGCATATTGTTAGACAATTTGGATCTATAAAGCATATAGACACATATATCGCAGAATTAGTACATTTATAGCACGCAGAATATATTCGAGGACTAAACATCTTCCTGCACGCACTCCATCGAATTGTTAGCCGATTGGGTGATGATCAGCGCCTTTTCCGAGTCGGTCAGGTTGATAAACTTGTGCTTGGACTTGAGCTCCTGCTGAATGGACGAGAGTAGGTCCGGTGAGCCGCGACCGGGCTTCAATATCAGACTATCCCGGTTCGTATGGCCTGCCTGCTGGAGGCCTTCAGCGGAGCCAACCACGTCCTGGGCTGGCTCCACAATCGTCTCCATTTGCAGCGACTGTCGCTTGCGGCGCACCCGCTTCGAGCCACGTGTAATGAGGACCACAGCTGGTGATTCATACGGCAGCGCCTGGATAACGGTTTGCAGCAGCTTTGGCGGAGTCTCGGGCGTTTTGGGATTGCCAATGACAACGTCAGCCTGCAGAGCGCTACGGGCGCGCTCACGTTCCTCCTCCTCGCGCTCGCGGGCTGCATTCTTGCGCATTAGCTGGCGAGCGCGCTTCTTGAGGATCGCCTGAGCAGTTGGGTAGTAGGCGATCACCTCGTTGAGGTCCGACTTGGAGAGCACAAACAGGTTGGAGTAGCCCTTCGAGCGTACGTCGGCAGTGCGGCGATCCGCGCCGTTAATGCCCAGCAGACTGATTTCTCCAAAAACTGAGCCCTCGGTTAGCGTGGCCAGGACAACATCGCTGCCGGGTCCGCCCATGACCTGCACCTGACCCAGCTTAACAATGTACATCTCGCGGCCCACTTCGCCCTTGCGGCACACAAAGTCGCCTGGCAAAAAGGTCACGGCGCGCAGCTTCAGCACCAGATCCCTAAGCAGAGCCTCCTCACAGTCGGCGAACAGTTGCACCTTGGACAGGGTCTGTATATGCACCGAGATGGCAATGTCCGTCTTCAGATTGATGGGCAGCGCATCCAGTATATTGGATTCATCTGGATGAAAACGTGGCACAATTATAACAACTTTAATTCTAGTAAATGTTGGGACTTACCCAACGTGCGTTGTTGCTCCCATGTGAATTGAAACCACATTTTAACTCGTGACTGCACTTCCTGCGAGAGATTTAGACGCCGCATATACTCGAGCGTCTCATCCTCCAGCTGACGGTACTCGTGCCTGTTGCGCGTGGCCGTTGAAATGATGTCCCTTATCTGGCCAATGAGCAGGGCAAACACAAATACGCCCATCAGCCAGGCGACCGTCATGAACACATATTCGCCCTGCCGTTCCGGCTTCGGGTTCTTGCCAATCGAGGTCGCCGTCTTGGTGGCAAACGCAAAGCATCTCACATATGGATGACCCTTGCCGCTAAATACCCAACGATTCTGGCCCAATCCCTGATAGTCGCTGTACGCATAATACAGGGCGGCCGTTATGTGAATCATATAGAGCATATACGTCAGCGTCTTGGCCACGCGCACCTGTGTGAGAACGACTTGGTATTGAATCACTTCTGTGAGACAGAGGGATGTTGGTTAAGCTTACGAAATGTGGCGAGGAGATGACACGATCCAAAAGTCGAAAGACTTCCCAGAAGCTTTGTATCTTGAAAAAACGCGGGAAACGTAGCCAAACAGCTGCCGTGCCATACTTAAGATAGAATAGCTCCAGGGGCAGCAAGGCGAGGAGATCCAACTGTCGAATAAGCCGAGTGGATAACATAAATAACAGAACTTTAAAGAAGATTCCCCTATAGGAGCTAAGGTTATTTGTTGACCTTCTTAATTTAAATTATGAATGGGACTTTAGATGATACTCTAAACTAATGAGAACGCTGGAAATTTAATGTGTTTAAAAAATGGGACGACATATCAATACCGACTTTTGGTATGGGATATTGTGTATTTGAAATTTCAAGTCTTTTCTAGTTTCTGAGACTCTAAAAATATATATGTATACTTTAACCATGCTTCCTTCTGTCTGTTACATACATTTTAGAAAGTCATTTTACACATTTTTGTGCATTTTCAATTAGTACAGGGTATTTAATATGGGAAGAGGTTCCTTGAAACGTGATTTAAATCGTATTAAGAGATCTCGAATAAAAGATTTTAGAGATTCCTTGAAAAGGGTATTTAAAGCGTAATAAAAGACTTAGAAGGGTTATAATATTTCATAAATGATCAATATTGAAACCCTTTCTAGAAAGGTTTCATTACGTTATTTTGGCCAACTTACCTTAAATTGCAGCTTCCTCATGTAGTTTTTGCGCGTTAGATTCTTGTTCTTGACCCAAAAGCCCTCAAAGAGATACATGATCCGATGCTTGAAGAATACCACATCCAGTAGATAAATGATATCCGCACAGAAGTCGCAGGCGAGCCAAATGTTTGTATTCTCCTTGGTTTGAAAGGGAAACGAAGCACGCAACGGAATGACCCAGGCATTGTAGAGGAACGAGAGGGAGACCACACACAGCCAGGAGATGTAGATCTTGCCCTGCGGATCGAGCGTGCGCTCATCATTGTTGGCGCCACACAGACTCGAGCAGAGCCAGACATTGGAGCGCGGCGTGTCCGCCTCGAAGAGGCGTCCGCGATGGGGCGACTGGCCAACGGGCACCAGGCGCACCTTATGCCCCGGCGACGGATGTAGGCTCTTGGTGCTCGCATGCAGTGCCGCCTGCGCTGGCGGGGGTGTGGGCGAGCTGGCGCTGCTGGACGAGGGCGTCGGCGGCAGCTCTATGCGCGACTTCATCTTGTTGGCGCGTGCCGTGAAGCGCCGCACCAAGTGACGCACTTGGTCGCGCAGGAACTGCTGGCCCTGCGAGTCCAGGCTGCCCGTACTGCTGGGCCGTTGTTGCTCCAAGCGTGCACTTGTGTCTGCCTCCACAACGGCGACAATTTCGCTCTCGTTGAGCGAGGAGGAGCGCGTGGTGCGCACATTGCGATCGTTGTTCTGCTGCTCCGGCGATTCATTGTAGCAAATCTGCACGTCCTGTTCGTCTTCATCCTCCATGGGCTGTGAGCTGCGGTCACATTGATCCGGTTCCAGCTGTTGTGGCGCTGGGTCCAGCAGCACCTGTCCGGTAGCACTGCGCAACTCCGCCGCACGCTGCTCGGCCACGGGATCGGGTTCGTCCACGGCGCCCGGCAGAGGTGTTCGCTCCACGTATTGTGGATGCAACACTCGACGCACGCTGTCCGGACTGACCAGTGGCTTCTCGTGCTTGAGTATGTGCTTGACCAGCGCATGGGTGCTCTCAATGTTGCTAATCTGACCCGGACGCTCCGCATCTACGCATCCGATGCGTCCATTGCGAAAGTACAGACGCGAGTGATAGAACCGAGGACTATGTGGCCGCTGGCGTCGCTGAGGCGCCTTGTAGGCGTTAATTTTGAAGCTGATCCGCTTGGTCGGGCTGGGCGTCTTGTTCTCCTTGTCGCGTTTGCGCTGACTGGCTGTCACCTGCTGCTCCGCCTGGCGCTCCTGCTCCTTTTCGCGCTGCATCAACTGCTCCGTGGCGCTAACAAACTGCTCAATCTCCTTGATATCCTTGGAGATCTCCTCCAGGCTGCGTCGCACATGTGCCTCCTTCTCGCCGGGCGTCGAGTAGCGGCGCTGCGGCTCCGGCCGCGTATTTATCACATTCCTCATAAAGGCATGCTGCTCCAGCGTCTCACAGAAGCGCGGCGAGGACGGCCTCTTGGCCTGGCCGGGTAAGGTAGCCATGCGCTTCAGCTGGCCGTGTGGCTGTGCCTGTGCTTGGAGCTCGTCGTATCGAAAGTTCTCCAATATGTTTGGCGATGACTTCAACAGCGCTGCAGTCGCCTCCGTGTCGAGCTCCGCGCTGCGCTGGTTCAACTGTGAATAAAACAAAACTTGACTCGCGTTTGCTCGCACTGTCAACTGGCCCCCTCCGACAAGGCGAACCACCAGCGGGCAACACGCAAATGCAATAAAAGAAATAAAATAAAGAAAAAACTGCTGTGCCTTGCATGCTAATTGCCTCGGGACGCCCGCACAATCATATCGAATCGATTTAATTGAGCAGCTCCCCAGCGCCCCATCTATCAGACAACAGACATCAGGCAAGGCGTGTGGTTGTTTTTTTTTTTCTTTTCCCCAGCGAAGGACGTTCAACCAGCTCCATTTACAACCTGGTCTACAGCCTGAGAAGTAAGCTTTAAGCCGAATTAAAATCTTAAGACTCCACTTTTGTTTTATAATTATTTAAAAATATCTAAAATTTCAGTTCTAATGCAACACTTGCAAAGTGCAAAGATAAATTGAAGATTAAACGAGAAGGAAGACTATCTTCGGCACACCGAAGATTTAATACCCTTGCAGACCGAACTTTTTAATAATTCTCATATTGTTTTGCCTGAATATAAGAAACTCAGGAAAAATAGTTAATGCCAAGTATGGTGTAGATATCTTGAAAAACAAAAAGTTTTTTATATAAGAAGCTCATTTTCGAACGATCGTTCTTATGGCAGCTATATGATATTGTGGTCCGATATTGATAGGATTTTGCATATAGTTGAGGAGCATAGTAAAACTTATAAATGCCGAGTTTGGTCAAGATATCATAATAAACAAAAAACTTTTTCAAACAAGATCTTACTTTTCCACCGATCATTCCTATGGCAACTATATGATATAATTGTCCGATCCAGCCGGTTCCGACATGTGTACTGCGTGCAACAGAAAGACGATCATGACGATGGCTTTAAAACTGAGAGACTAGTTCGCATAGAAACAGACAGACAGACGGACGGACGGAGAGACGGACATGGCTATATCGACTAGACTGTTGATACTGATCAAGAATATATATACTTTATGGGGTCGGAGATATCTTCTTCTATGCGTTGCACATTCCGAGACAAAATTATAATACCCTCTGCAAGGGTTTGAAATGAAATATATTATATATATTCCTGTGCATCTATTTGAAATTGTGGTTCGATGTTGATAAGTTGTTGTTCATACATATATGAAGGGAGCATAATTAAACTAGTACATGCTAAATAAGATATACATATTCAAATATTCATACATCAAACTCAGCATGTGCGGGCTTTACTATTCTCACATATCTGGAAACCCGTAAGGCAAATGTCTGCCTTACTTTCTCGATATCTTTTCTGTTGCTGTTTTTTAAGTATTTTTGTATTTGACAAATGTTTTTCCAAGTGGAATCTATATTATATTTATATTGTTTCTTTGTTGTTTCTCTTACCTTGCTAGAGCGGCCCCTGCTGGCCATATTGTTGTTGTTGTTGTTGCTGCTGTTGTTCGCCTGTTTGCTGTTAACTTCTTTGCGAGTTCACTGCCAGTTCAAAGTTCAGGGTCGCGTCGCTTAGTTTGCCATTTGTCGTCTGTAATTAAAGTAAAATTGTTGCGTGGCACACGCGGCGTATGATTAATGCAAAATGCCACTGCGCCGCGTCTAATCAGCCTTATCAGCTGCCCCGCGCTGGCATATGCTTTACATTATTGATTTTTCCCAGTGCTGCAGCTGGGACACAATCTTTAGTGTGTATTTCACAGTTGCAAGCGTCGCCGTTCAACAGGTGTGCGCCTTGAAGGCATTTTCTTATTTTAATAAGTCAAGTGCATGCAGACTATTTAAACGATGTTCGATAGAACTGTTTTGATTATTCACAGAATCCTTCTGCTTGCCACAATTGCATTTTGTTGCATCCGCATACTACGCAGCCCCGCTGACAGCAAACGTGACAGAAACTTGGACTCACCTTCTTTGCAGCTGGCAACCAACAAACTAAGCGTTGATAGTAAGCTGGCCAGCAGCAATGGCAGCAGCTGACTTGGTCTTGTTTTGGCCAAAAGGATGGCGCACGCGTGGGCACCGTGGTTTGAAATTGAATGTAAAGCTTTGCCACTTTCTCTAACTATCTTAACCAATGACAACATTTTTATTTGGCAATACTCAAAAGCGTATCATTTACTTTTGATATCTTAGCAATTTCAGTATTTAATAGTTTCTCAAGCGTTTTTAAATGCCAAATTTAGTTAGTAGAATTTCAGAACATTTAAATGGTAACCGACTGTTAACAGAGCTAATAACATAAAAGTCCACTGTTAAATAAAAGCTGCCGAGCTTTCGAGCGTGCCGAGCTTTGTCGAGCTCTGTAGTACAGATTTCTACGGATTAGTATTTTTTTTACAATCTATTTTAGTTTAATATTACCTAATAATTAACAACATGAAATCAGTTAAACAAATGCAGTTTTATAATTTAAATAGCTACCATTCAATTAATGTTAGTATTTTAAATTAAATAAAATTTACAAATTAATAAAAAACATTTAAACATAATTTGAAAGTTTTTAAAACTTTAACTTATGCTAATTGAATTTTATTGTTATCTTGTTTTTAATTTTTATCTAGGTATGAACGAATGACGCTCTAAGCAGAAGTGAACATATATAGAGCCTGCGCCTTAATAATTAAATAAAAATTACAAAAAACAGGCAATTCAGAATAATATTTAATTCTTATTTTTTATATTTATCTTATATATAAGAAACAATATTGACATAATTAAACAATTACTTTTAATATTAATATATTACAACTAATTTCTCCCTTCAATATTTTACTAATCAAAAAAATTAACTTTTTAATATTTGTCCTTAAAACTATGTTTAAAAAAAAAACTTTACTCATCCGCAACCTTCCGCTCAACATTTAAACATTCAAACACAATTTTAAAGTTTTTAAATGTTTTTTATTTATATATTTTTAAATAATATTCCGTTCAGCTCTACATTTACAATTACATATTTGTAATATTTGTTGGTTTTGTTGTTTTCTTTTTTTTGTTTTTATCATTTCTTTTTTTTTTCTTTAATTACATATATATACTTATGTATATATTAAAATGTATATATAACTTGTTGGATTGTTGGTTTAAACTTTATAATTTGTATGTAAGTTAAGTGAGAACGTCTGCTAAAAGGACGAATAAAGGAATCGTTGGACGCAAACATCTCAGAACTCAATTCTTTGGACTCTGCGCATCATAAACTGATCCTATCCAACGTTTCCCCTACAAACTGTGGAACGCTATGCACAAACATTTACATTAGATGCCGCGACGAAAAAAATATAATAAAAAATGGAGAACCAAATCGAGCTCAACTTGGCCAACTTGAGGAATCTGAGAAACGCGTTAGAGTAGATACATACATACGTACAAACCTATAAAGAAACAGTTGCTAGTTTTTGTTTTGTTTTTTATGTTTTGTTTTGGTTTTTTTTTGTTTGTTTTGTTTTTTCTTTTTTTGACTGAAAATTATGTTGTAACTTATATTATGGTTCTTGGTGTGTGTGTGTGTGTGTGTGTGTGTGTGGTTGTTTGTTTTAAGTGCATATTTAAAGGTTTAAGGTTTTCTTTTTTTTGTGTTTTCTTGTGGTTTTTTCTTAATTGTTTTTCATTTGTTTTATGTCACTTAAAAAATTACATTAGTAAAATGTATTTTAAAACTGATGCGAACGTTGCCATTGCACTCGCCTTAGCATATTACTCGCTCTCATCCTCTTCGTCCTCCTCGGAGGACTCTTTCTTCTTGGCCTTCTTGGCGGGCTTGGCGGCGACCTTCTTTCGCTTCTTGGGCGCACCGGAATCGGTGCCGCCATTTGCCTCGTACTCCTTTACCGCCTTATTGTATTCCTCCTTCATTTTGATGGCTTTCTGTTCCCATTCCTACAAAAATCACAAAAGCATACATATTAGCAGTTGAAATGGTCAAGAGTGGATGAATCACTTACGGTTTTGTCTTTCAAGCCGCGCCACAGCTCACCGCCTCGCTTGGCAATATCCGTGACCTTGCTGCCGGGATTTTCCTTTTTGATCTGTTCACGGGTCTCATTGAGCCACAGCATGTACGCTGACAGAGGACGCTTCGGGCGATCGCCGCTCATGTTTGCAGTTGCTTTTGTAGATTTACGGTGGTTTAATTGGAATTTAGTATTTGCTCCCTCAGAGTTTTGTGTTCTGTAAACGAATGAAAGGAAATGCTTAGTGCTTAGTAGTCACAACAAATCATAAAAGTCTAAGGCTGTCTGTTCGAGTAGGCTTTGAAAATATTGTAGAAACACCCAGAATTGTGAATTGTGACAGTAATATCAAAACCTATTCCACATAAATATAAATAAAATTAATTAACCGCATTCATAAAATATATTATCGAAAAGATAGCCATCTTTTTATTCAATGTGAATATGTGTGCCACATAATTAAAATAATTTTCAATAAACAGGCAAGCAGCTAACCGAAAATCCCTTAAATGTTCAATAATTGCATATCGGAATGCACAAACGCTCATCAAATATTCGTGCATTTTGTGAGAGCAACTGTACACAGCTCGTACGCCCACCCGCCCACACACTGTACACACACACAGACACACACTCGGGCAGCAAACATATGCACTCTGCGACCATTTTTATATGCACATAAGCTCAATTATTATGTGCGCATGTATTTATGTATTTTGTACATAATTTACTCAATTATGAAATTGTGTGCAGCGGCAGATAGGAATTCAGTTTTACGGACCAATCCACTGAAGTAGCATGTACCACACCTGTACATATGTAAAACGGGGGAAATGCACTTTTAAATAGCTGGCCAGTAAATAAAGTGCTGGCATATGCCTGCACATAAAGCCCAATATTGTCATTGAGTTCGTCAAGTTGTACAATTATATAACAGAAATATCAGACGTAAGAGCAGGCATTGCATTATATTGCATAAGTAATGCGGCTTATATTTAAATAAATAAAAATATCGGATTTTACCCTAAGGATAAAATATCCCATGCGTAAATTGCTGGATGAACAAGCCGAAAACTGCGTATACGTTATGCAAATGTTGTTTGTGTCAGCAGCAGCAGCATCATCATCATCATCACGTCATCATCATCATCAACGTAGTCGTTGTCGTCGACAGCATCAGACAATCGCCTCCATGCACTTGACCCAAATACTGAGAAATACTGACAAATAACGCAACGCACACGAGACAGCGACAACGAGAACGAGAACGACGACGATGCTGATGCTGACGAGCGGCTCCAGCAATTGGGTTAACAAACCACTGAACTGAGCACTAGCACAGAGGGAGCCCAGCACGATAAATCAACAGCAGCACGGTTGCTAGCTGCGGCTGGGGTAGGTGGGGGCAGGTAGCAGGTGGAAAGGCTGCAGTCATATCAATCACGAAGACGTATTCCAGGCACTGGTCAGCCAGCAACAATGGCGCATATTAGCTCGATGCAACAGCAACAACAACGACGACGACCACCTACGCCGTGTGTGTGTGTGTGTGTGTGTGTGTGCGTGTGCAGCAACAGGAAAATGGCGGCAAAGTTGTTGTTAGACTCACGCGCGCAACTGCTACGCTACGCAACTGCGCAGAGTTGCGCCACCCAACACCCAACACCCACCAACCACCACCCACCACCCCCCACCCACAACGCACACCCACGCAATATAGAGCCGCACATGCATACCCACGCAATGACGTTGTCAATGTCTCCCCAAACACGAGGCGGCAACACGTGATGCACAAAGCAACAGCAGCAGGGAGCAGCAGGGAGCAGCGTCATGGGTTATGCGTTGCCATGTCTGCAACGGGGCATGGGTGACACCAAAAGATTCCTCCGATGAGCACGACACATGTCGGATGTTCACGTAATGCATGCGTACAGGCGCCCGTACTTATATATATACATATATATAGACACCATGATGGGGAGCCACCTTCAAAATCGAAAGCGAAACACATTTGTCTGACGGGAAGCTGCGAGTGCATGTGAGTGGGCGTATGTGCATGTGTGTTAGTGTGTGCATGGATTGCTTGTCGGAGCTGTCAGCAACTGATAGGTGTAGAAGTAGGTAACTAGGCAGCTGCGACCGTTATTTATATGTGAAGCTTTAATATAAGTATGTTCCCGGAAAAGAGCACTAATACAGCTCGGAAGGTTAAGCTCTTAGTAAGAATTAATAACGATATAATTAGGATGACATTTTGCGCTGCGCTGAAAGATATGCAATAAATTGTATTTTTCAAGGGGTTGTTAGAAGGTTGCCTTCCCGAAAATGGGAAAGGTAAAATTATATTAAACTCTTTGATATTATAAGCAAATAAAAGATATTTTTCACAATTTTGCAAAAATTTGAAAATTCGTGGATCGCTCGAATATAAGAACGTCTTGTGGTTAAGCAATACTTATTAAAAACAACCTCGTTTTTTAATTTATTAAAATTTAAAAACAGTTTTATAGAGCTATTCCAATTTCTATATATTTAATTTCTGTTTGTTTAAGAATTTCTATATATTTAACAAATGCAAGGATTAGAAAAACAAATCTTGGTTCTGAAACTCCGTATATTAGATTTTATTTCAAATGCATTAAGTTTTCTTCCCCATGTGTATAGCATACTTTTTAGGGCAACCAATAGAAAATGTATGAAGAGAAATAGGAAACCACATATAGGTTATGTGCTCTCCTTCTAATATGATAGTTTTATTATTTACTCTAGATAAACATACAACTGCACATTGATTCAGTCCAAAATCTGACCATAAATCCCAAGCCACTCGCAATGCGATTAGTAGCCATGGCAAGGTAGACAATTTCTAATTAATATACAAATTCAACCACATCATAGAAATCGTTGTCATCATTTTGTTGGTCATATCGTTAACATTCACGCACATTGAAAATGTGCGTATGAGTTTGAGCTGATTATTTGGAGCTAGAACGTAGCAAACACTGTGGACGTTACGCATACGCAGCGTGGTACGACTTCCCACACACACCGTCATGCATAATAGATAACTAGCTGGGGACAACGAAACAACGAATGAAAAGAAAGGAAAGGACCACAAATGATATTAAATAGCATACAAAATGAGGCAGGGACAGCATTATAGCGTTGATCTAAAATTGAAAAGCAACCAACGCCAACGCTTTCGACGCAGCTGCTGACGTCGCTGCTGACGTCGCTGCCGCCGTCAGCGGCCAGAGTCAAATGGATGATATGTGAAATTACTGAAAGGAATACAGTTCACAAATACAAATACACCCAAGCATAAAATTACCGCTGCCTCTGCGGCAACGGCTTCTGCTTATCTGCGCTCTCTGCTAGCGTCTGTCTGTATGTGTGTGTGTGTGTTTATGGCATTTTTAATGCCGACAACGCAACTGCTGGCGTCGACAGCGCTGCTGCTGCGCGCTTGCTGGAACGCTCAGTGGTTGTTGTCTGCACAGCACAGCAGAGCAGCGCAACCACCCGAGCCGCCCGAACCACCCAAAAACAACGAACCCAAACTGTAAAATTGTTGCCTGAATACGACTTTCAGCTCGAGCTTGTGCGCAGTGACAGCATTTTAGGGTAGATACTTTTACAGGGATTTGCGCAGTGGATGTCGACGGGGCAAACAACCGTTATATGTGGCTATATATGTATGTATGTATTTATATATATATATGTTTCTATGTGAGTGCCGTTTACCGTTAAAGAGCGCACAGTGGTGACTTTTTGTACATTGCTACAACGTTTGGCTGACTGATATCATTTGTTTGTGTTCTGACTACACTTTTTCGTAAAGTGTAGCTTGCAGTTGCTGTACAGTTGTGGCATAAATTATGAGCATGCTACAAATTTGTTTTGATTTCATTGCATAGTCCTTGATTGGAAGTTAAATTGATTTTGTCAGACCAATTTATACCTAATGCCCATCCTTATTGGAAACATATGCCACACAAATACAATTATTTAGTGCGAAACCATCCGAATAATTAAATTCTTACATTTACAATACCTTTGCAAAAACAACACTTTAAACTTAAAACGCTCCAGTGAAATTGCTTACCTATTCTTATTCCCTTGCTGTTTGTTTTTATTGCAAAATAATTTTTTTTTATCAAAACAAAACAAATATATGTAAATACTCACTTGAGCAAGATCTCAGCGGTTAGCTAACAAAAGGAGAGAGAGCGAGAGTGCGAGCGAAAGCTTTGCCAAAAACAACAAGTGCATGCATTAACACATGCACACATTAACACATTAATCAGTTGAAAGGCGATGATCAGCAAGCGACAAGCGACAACAACAATAACACGACCGCAGTCGACGACGTCGCGAGCTTTTGACGTTAGCGGCAGCGCTTTCAGCTGACTTTAAAAACAGATCTACGTATCTCAATCAATTAATTATAACACAGGCCGCCCAATAGGCGGCAAAGTTCGTTTTGAAGAAGTGCAAATGGTGAAAAAAAAGCTTTATAGCCGAAAATTGCGGAACACTGCCACCTAAATTGCCCTCACTTCTGCTCTGTTGCTCTCTTTGTGCAGGTTGTGTGTCAAACTTTTGGCGCCATTTTTAGTTTGCGTTCGAGTGTTCGCGATACGAGTGCATAAGCAAATCGCGCGCGAAACCAAAAAAAAAAATAAAATAAAAAACAAATAAACAACAGAGATACACAAATAACTTGCGGAAGCAGAGGCAGCTACAGGTATTGCAATTCAATTTGTAAAAAAAAAATGCAATTTTGATTTAATAGTTTCTAAACTTACAAGTCAAAAAAATAGTTTGAAAATTTAAAATTGAAAATGTATGTATATTTATATTTCTAGATGAAATGAGTGAAAGTCTACATTTAACCAATAATAATTGAAAGCTCTGAATAATTAACTAATAATAAAAAACTATTAATAAACGATTTTCTTTGCATGCAAACATTTACCGTTTTTGATATTACCGTTTTTGTAACTACTAATGAGAGAAAGAGAGTTTATTAAAATGATATATATATAAAATGTATTTTACTTTCCAGTCTTTAAAATTGTCAAGTTAAGTCGAAGTAAAGCCAAACTCAATTACTAACCACATTTCACGGTCAAAGACTTCAAACTTCATCTACACGGGGAGAATTCATTCCGCCGGGCAATTTTGCGCACGCAGCTGCAAAATGCGACTCAAGCAAAATAAACATGGGAAAATGGCAATGGGGATTGGAAGGGGAAGGGGAATGGGAATGGGAATGGGAAACGTGACCACCGATAGCCGGCGCGACTTGGCGACAATTGCAGCCTTGTGATAAGGCAGAAGACTCATCGCAGTGAAATGTGAAATCAACTGATGCCTGAACACACAATGCACCAGAGGATTAGGCAGCAAGTGCACACATAGTCACGTACATGTGCCTCGAGTATGCGCCAAGGGAGCAACACTTAGTGCAAGACCCACTAAAGCCATCGACAGGTGGGTGGCAGCAGCTGGCGTCACACACAGGCGCTAACCAAGCCCGGATCAGGCCTGGAACAATAGCTGAAATCGAAAACGGAATGCAAAGCAGAAGCTCTGAACTACTCCAAAATATCGTGGGGATGTGGGGCCATTGGATGTGATTACAGTCACGGTTAATAATATTGAGCAAACACTTGAGATTATTTCAAAACTGATCATTGTTAATTATCATAAAATGTAAGACTATTTTATGTCCGATTTAAGATGGAATATAACAATAGATATTAATCATTAGATCTGTTTCATCGCTAATATTTTTTTATAATTGGATATCTAGCTTATTGGGAAATAGTTTTTATAAAAATATTTCAAATTATTCAGTTGAGAAAATACCCTTATTATTTATCTCTGATTTAGTATGACGAAAGTAATTATGAAATTTTTTAACTGATTTACATAGATGTATTAAAAAAACATAAAATCAAACCATTAATCGAATAACCAACTTGCTATGGTCCGACGAACATTTCAACTGTTAATCAATTAAATTGATGATAACATCAAGCAACCATTCCACAGTAAACTAAACAACAACTTGCACCTCCGCAAGCATTTTCAGTACCAAACCAATATAAAGCCTGTACAACTAATTTGACGCACACTGTAAATGGACGCCCCATGGGCCAAACACTAAACGCCAGTGTAAAAATTATTACCCACAGACGTCTAATGAAAAATACTCGTATTTCTTATATCTACGTACTTTGCTTTGGCTGCCGCTGTTGTTGCTGTGTGTTTACACTTCACTCTTGGCCCGGCTCGGTCTAGAAATTTGCTTCGCACTGGCGCTGGCACTGGCACTGAACAACACTCTGAACGCTGAACGCTGAACAAAATGTACTGCGAGTGTCTATAGAAAACTGAACTGAACTGAAATTCAACTGAAGCAGCTGTACCAGCGCAAAGGCAAAGCAAAGGCAAAGCAACGCGAGGCGCGGCGAGACGAAGCGAAGCAAGGCAGGCAGCGGGCAGCGGGCAGCAGCAGCAGAACAGAAGCAGAGGCGAAACACATACACACGCAGAGGCGAACCGAACGAACGAGTGAACAGCGAGACCATCAAATAATACACAGAGCCAGAGACCCAGTGAGCGCAGTACAGGCAGGCGGCAGCAAAAGTATCTGTATCTGAGAGTCAAACAGCCAGCCAGGCAGCCAACCAACATAGAGCGCTGACGACGACGACGACGACAACGGCAGCAACAGCAGCGACGACGTCGACGGCAGCGGGCGGGCAACGAGCAGAGAGAACGCAGGCAGACGGGCCAGTGTATGTAGTGGCCGACAGTGGTGGCAAATTACGTGCGCACAACTGCCGCCTGCTGAGTGCGTGTGTGTGAGAAAAATAATTTGCGTTTTTGCGGTGGCATCAACAGTAGCGTACCAACAAAATGAACTGACAGCTCTATGGAATTTGTACGGCGCATGCACAGTGCTGGCGCTGAATATTGGAAGACTAATGGAAATAAGCGAATAATCGCAGGGTGTATATAAATTAAATTTATTTATTTTTTTATCAGAAAAATATTAAATTGCACGCAATACCAAAAATTGATTGGAAGTTAGGAAGCATTATTGCTATAAATATGGCAAATTAATATTTAATTTTTTCCTCTATCAGTAAATTTCGGTTATTGATAAGGGAAAATTATGCTCAGAAGCATTTAAAAAAAAACGTATGTACTTTATTCATCAGAAACTATTTTAAACTATTTATAATGTATGTGTGAGCTATGTATGCTGCAATTATGCTCATGCCCTACACCAGTGTAAGCGCACACTCTTTAGCCCTTGTTCCACATGTAGGCTCGCGCATGTTCAACTATTTTTGACGCGACTGTACGCTCTGGCTGCTTATTGCTTCAGCCATATAAAAAGCATGGAGCGAACAAGCTTTGTGCGAACGAAATGCCAGTAGCATTTTGCCGCGGCAGCAGCGGCGCCGCTGCCACTCGCCTGCACCTCACTCCCCCCTACCTTCATTACCCCTCAGTTTTCCATACTATCCGCCGTCATGTCATCAACGTAGTCGTCGTCACATATAACCAAATATGCCGCCCACTTACCGTCGCCCCCCCAACCCTACCACTCTTTGCTAGCCCACAAACACCCTCCCCCCCCCCCCAAACCCCTACGCCATCACTCACGCGCTCAAATCTACAATAAATGCCTGGCATCAGAGATACCCCTCACCCCCTTAAGCCTATGTTCAACCTCAAAAGACAAAAACAAATTCTGTTTTTTTTTACATATTTTACAGCACTATAAAAATTTGTTGAATTTTAATCAAAATGCATGCATAGAAACTGCTAGACATAAATGCGTTAAGATCAGTATTATTATTATTATTTTAGTTTTGATTTGTTGTCGTACTTCATTTACGTGCAATTTCCTATTGAGTAATCAGCAGGCGATTTGGCAGCGCATTTTCAAAAAATAACCGTCAATATTATGAGCGCGCGCATTCAAAATTTAAATTCAATACCAACAACAATAACCAGAAGAAGAACAGCGACGACGACGACGACGACGACGACGACGACGTCGACGACGACGACAACAACGGAACGGAATCGAACAGAAGAGAGCTCTACAATATGAATATAGCTGGGTCTTTGGTTTGGCCAGGCCAGGCCAGGCCAGGCCGGGGCCACCTTTTGCGCTTTTGATAGCCCCATACGCCAGAAATTGGGTCGTTAGTTTATTTTGCAAAATTTATATAATAAATGGCCGCAATGGCGGCGCATTTTGGTCAATTTATTTAGTAAAAACAATGAATAATCAATCATAGTGAGACACTTTTCACTCACCCGTAGGAAAATGTCGCGTAATTTACAGTTTTAATTGTAGGCCTTCGTCGATATATCGACTCGTGGTTATATTTTGTGCACTGGCGTATTGCCTGTTGTTTGTTCACTTTATAAATTTTCTTCTACTAAAAACTCAAGTCAGTTGTGTTTCGCTGTGCTCTCGGTCGCTGTATCGGTCTCGGTTTGTTCAGCGTAGTACGTACAGCTTTTGCCTTCAGTGGAATATCAAATACACAGAATGAATGCCAGGCAGCCAGCCAGTCAGCCAGCCAGCAAGCCAGAGGCAGAGACCAAGCACCAAGCACCAGTATGCGAGTACGACGCAAACGCAGGCAGTGAAAATGTATATGTATATGTATATTTTGTATGCGTTATACTGTCCATGTGCGTGCGTGTGTGTGTGTGTGTGGGCCTGCGTGTATGTCTGTGTGTCGTTCATTCGCTCGCTCGGTACGTTTCGTTGGTTTGTTCGCTCTACTATGTGCGCAAAGCAGAGGCAACGGCTACACACAGTACAGCACACACACACACACACATAAGCAGTCACAGATACACGCCACATGTCGGTGTGTATCTGGCCTGGCCCCGCTTTCAATGTGTGCGTGTCTGTATGGCTGAACAAAAATTTTCGTTCGTTATATGAACACACGGCAGCAGCAGCAGCAGCAGCAGCAGCAGCGGCGACGGCAGCAGCAGCAATACTTGGATGACAGAGGGGAATATGGGGAGTTGCGCGGTGAGGAGGGCCAACGGCAACCGGCAATGGCAACGAAGCACCAGCAACAGCACTGAATATGGCCGCCTGCCTGCTTGCCTGCCTGATATTGTGGCTGGTTTGCTCTGGCTTGCCCTGCGCCAAACGGTTAACTTCACAATGCCAAGTAGTTGCATTAAAATATTGGATGGTAGTATCCCATTGAAATGGGTTTCAGAAAATCTCGAAAAACTTAATGAAATTTTAGAAAATGTTCTAAATAATAGCACGTTCCTTTGCCCTATGGAACCATTTGAAATGGATTAAATTAAATTGTATTTTGAAATTTTTAATACAAATCAGTTTTCTACTATAAAATTGAACCGTTTCGAAATATTTCCAATATTTTAGCTCTAATTGTTTCTAGATTATTATTCAAAAACTTTAGCAAATTAAAAAATATATTTTTTTTTTTATTATTAGAGTGGGTTAAGAACTTAGGAAAAAATAATTATATGGTTTATTTGTGTTAATACAGTAGACAGACAGACTTAAAGCTAAACAATTTTTTTATGGAAAAATAATCTTTTTATTTTAATACAGCGCATAGATAAGTTAAGTTAATATAAACTTTTTAAATTTGAATTTTAAATATTTTTAACATATTTTGATTCGAATATTTCTTCAGTCCAATGGAAATAAACCTAGTACTGGTCATGTTTAGATTGAAATTGTATATGGAGAAGACTATTGCTCTTCTCATGTATAAATATTTTGATGATATTACCAGATCTATAAGTCAAATAGGTAACATGTATATAACTCTCAGCTGGCTTTATATTTGTATACATTTTTACATATAATATAAAAGGGGATTTTTGGTAAAAATATTTAGTGTTAAATTATATTTAAAGTTGGGCTGGCTTATACTAAATATTAGTTATGTAATTTAACATGCGAAAGTATTTAATTGTTTACTAAAATATCTTCAACTTCATATAAAAACCATAAACGCTCATCGAGTGTAGCGCACTATGATTTTCGACCAGTTTGAAGCATTTCGCTTGTATGGCTCTGGCTACAGTACGAGTATCTCGCTCTGCTGAGCCCACAGCCGCAGTCAGAGTACAGCCAGTAGCAGAGGCCCGCAACGAAAGTACGTATGAAGCAAGCGAGCCAACGAGCAAACGAGTGAAATAGGCAGCGGCATATGCAGAGGCAGGGGCAGGAGCAGAGGCAGAGGTAGAGGCAGCGGCAGTGCGGGGCGACAGAGGGGAGTGACGGCAACGGCGATGACGGCGACTGCGATGTATCTGTACGTGTCGCTGCCGTTGCCGTTGTCGTGTGTATCTGTATCTATGCGAGCAAACAGCACACAGCCCCAAAACGGGCCCCCAGCGACGTCGCAGGCAGACTACGAAAAACAATGGGCCACATTCGATGTAGGGTATACTGCGTCCGGGCAGTGGGCCAGGCGCTATGGCAAACACGTTGCAAGACTATATGTTTGCTACGTGTGAATATCAGAAAGCACGACCAATACCCTTGTGACTCGGATCAGAGCTTGAGCATTAATTGAAAGGCTAATCGAGGTATTTGAATTAAAAGATTTATAGGGCTCTATAGACAGTAATATATGTAGATCTGGAGAACGTACAACTTTTTAGTTAGTATGCGAGCATATTTAAATGGCAGAAATACTCGGGAAATACGTTTAATTTTTCAAATTTTTCAAAATATATTCTTATACCTGCAAAATGATATGTTAAATATTATTTTAATTATTTAATGTTTGTGATCATGAAATTAAAATATCAAAATCTTATTTCATAAATACAGAGCATTAAATACTTTGTTAGTTCACTTTATTAATTTAGAATATAGTCACAAACTATATACTATACACTAGCCCGAATAGAACCCCGATTCTCGTTCTTCAAATTCCTAGCTGGGCCACTAAAAGAACTTATCTACCAAGAACTGATTGTACCAAAAACTTGTGAAATATCTATTAAAATCATTTATTGAAAAAAAATTTGATTAGTATTTTTATTGGGAGAAATATTAACGATAGATGTATTGCAATTAAGAAAGAAGAGACAAATATATAATAGTAAATAAAAATAATAAATAATAATAAAGTTCTCGAACAAATTTAGAAATATTTAATTGATTGTTATTTATGATATCAGCAAATGTTTGCATAGGATTAAATACTATATGGTAAAAAATCTAAAAAAAAATAATATAACAAAAATGTGATTATCTTAAGTTTATGACTAATGAGTAAAAAGAGTAGTAAAAATCGATTTAGGGAACTTTAGTAATGCCCTTTAGAATCTGGGTTCCTTCATAAATATTATAAAGAGCAGAAACCAAGAAGTTGCCTACAATAAAATGGCATTCATGTCACTGTAGCCTGCTGCCAGGCAACGCAATAATCTGTTGAATATATGTACTGCAAATGTACAAAACCGTCGATTCGGTGGAAGTTGTTCGCATGGAGCTCGGCCCACAGTGCAGTGGGTCGATGTCGGTTATTCTGGTTGTTTGCCGTACAACCACCCCCCGCCCAACGCGCGCGTGGGTTCGTGTCTCTGTAGCAGAACCCCGCACCCAAACTAACGGGCCATTGACATCGAGTTGGGGTTGGGGGTGTAGACCCGATCCGCTCCGGTTCTGGCTCTGCCTGCGCTGCTGCTGCCTGCTGCTGCTGTTTCTGCTGCTGCTGCTTCTGCTGCTGCTGCTGCTCTGAGGTGAGAGACGCGGCTGCAGTCGCTTCGGTGGTGGCAATTGTCGGCTGTATGAACGGGAATATATGCTCGGGATATATGCAAACCAGCCCAAGCATTGCCCGAGCCAACAGCAGCAATAGCAGCAGCAGCAGCAGCAGACGAAGGAGCGAACGAGCTAACGAACCGAACGCATACTCGACAGGATGTGGATATAACGAGCCTGTGTGCGAGTGTGTGTGAGTGTGTCTTTGTGTGCGTGCGTCATTTTCTATGTGTGTGTGTGTGTCCTTTGCTATGCTGCGTGTGTTAGAGCATAGAAACAAAGTGCAAACTGGTAGGCACATTGTATAAAACCCGAGGATACGCCGAGTAACTCGAACTGCATATACCCTCTTCCCAAAAAGGGTTTCACATAATGAGTAGCTATCAAAAATATAATTGCATACAAGCCGAGCTGATGAAAATAAATATTAATTACCGAACATAATTAGGAATATGCATCCATCGAATATGTCGTACCAACAATTAGGTATTGCTATGGATGAGCGGAGTAAAATAGCAATTATCACATTTTTACCAATTACAGAAAGTAAATTATGAAAATTGATGTTATTTTTCTAAACACTAGAAATTAGACTAACTGAGAAGGGAGTTTATGAAAAAAGGTTTATATAGTTTAACTTTGGTATGTTATTTAAATTATTTAAATTGCTTGGGAAGATTTAAACTATATTTGACTAACAATTAAACTGAATAGAAAAATTTATATTTGTCAATATAAGATTTAGTATTGTTTTTATTGATTGATAAAAATATATTGAATTTAGTTTATTTTTGTTTGATATAAAAGAAAATATATAAAAATATATATAAAGAATTTTATATTCTCTGACTCGTACGGACCTTAATCTGATATTTATTCAACTGATTTTATTTCTTTTGATTCAAGTTTCCTATATATTTTATATTCTCTGACTCGTAGGGGTCTCGATCTGATATTGAAATCAACTGATTTTCTTTGTCCTTTTGATATAAGTTTCTTTTATATGTTATATCCTTTAACTCTTAGGAATCTTGATCTGATATTCATTTAACTAATTTCCTTTGTTCCATTGATTCAAGTTTCTTATATATTTTATATTCTCTGACTTTAACGGGTCTCGATCTGATATTAATACAACTGATTTCATTTTTTCTTTTAATTCAAGTTTCTTATATATGCTTTAACTCTTAGGAATCTCGATCTGATATTCATTTAACTGATTTCATTTTTCCTTTTGATTCAAGTTTCTTTTATAATTTATATATTTTATATTCTTTGACTTTTACGAATCTCGATCTGATATTCAGTTAATTGTTTTCATTTTCCTGTTTTCCTATTAGATTCTTAAATTTAACTGATTTTCCTTTGTCCTCTTGTTTCAAGTTTCTTTGATAGTCCGATAGCGCATAGAGCATGTCGTTATCCTAGAGAACTTAAGTCCGGGGTGGTCGGTCGCTTTACCATGTTGTTTGGCATGAACTGGCAATGCTGAGGACGGCATAGTTTGCTAGCTTAGTTGCATTTGTGCGTGATACTTGGCTTTCGCATATGTTGTGTTACTGTATGTGTGTGATTGTTGCCGTTGGTCCCTTTATAGAACTGGATGACTTGGGCTGAGCAAGTGAATCTTGCAGTCTCCATGCACACACATAAATATACTTTACTTGGGCGCACACAGCAGGACGGCTTGGCCAGGCCAGGCCAGGCCTCGAAATGGTCAGAGTAGAGTGCCAGGCACTTGTTGTCGTTGTCGTTGTCGTTGTCATTGTTGTTGTTGTTTTTGTTGCTTTTTGGTCCGCTGGCGTCTTCTTGTCGTCGCCTACTTGAGCCAATATGCTTGCCATATGGATGCAATGTATCTTTTACGTTTACCGTTACGCTATGCTTGCGCAATGCATATTTAATACACATATTCACAGGCCAGGACAATAAAGTTGTGATATTATGCAAAGTTTCGAATAGTTTCCCATGCAAAAGTTTGTAGTCCCTAATTGGCTCCGTTTAGCATATTCGTGAAGTGGCAAAACATAAGCTAGCAGAAGTATCTGAATATGATTATTGATTGATTGATTGATTATTGATTTTGAATGCTAGCAAGATTTTAAACAGAGAAACATTCCCCAGTAACAAAGAATGATTATAATGAAGGGCTAAAGACATATCCAAATCAAATTTGAATTAGAATGGATTACGTTTTCGTTGTTTTAAGCTCGACGCGTTAAAATTCCCAACAAGTTAAAGCTTTCAATGAGAGACAAGGTGCTTGCACACCTAAAGTTGATAGCAAAGTCTGCCGGTGATAGATCTGAGAGATTCTTAAAATAGCTTGCTTACTTTTTGTTATATATGGCTTGTTGTCTCTTGGTTATTATGCAACCAATACAAACTTAATAAAGAATATTCACCTTGAACTAGCCAGCATTATAACCACGAAATCAAGTATACAGAATCCTTGTTTCTGTCTTCCTGTGGAAGACATACTTAAAACTTTCAAGCGCAGTTTTCCTTTTTTTTTCATGAAACTGAGATAATAACTGAAATAGCTGGGTGAGATCAATTGTTAGCGTTACATTTCGAATGATAATATAATTTTTGTCACCTTTACACTCGATCTCCTGATATGATCAAGCGTGCGATTTACCAATAGCCGAAACAAGAGCAATTTGACGCTAGGCATTTAATTGCTCTGGACCCAAATCGCGCTATGCATATGCGTATGCATGGGCACAGGTAGAAGCCGACCACCTGAAGCTGTAGCAAGTCAAGTATTTTTGCCTCGTAATGTGCTGCCCTCTGGTACTGATTCTGATTCAGATTCTGGTCTCTGCGTCTGTCTCCGGTCTCGCTGGCGCTGGCGCTCGGTTCGCACGAACAGCTGATGATGCATATAAATACCGAGTGGGAGCAGTGAGTGCTCACAAATATGCGGATGGGTCGTTGTTTGGAGGGCGATGGCATGTGCGATGGCACGTTTGCTGTGACGCTGCTCGGCTGTGGCTCGGGGCCGGTTGGCCCCAAACAGCAGACAGCTGGGCAGACAGGCGGACGGTCAGGCCGATTGGGCCCACACGAGAGGCCCCACAGAGTCTTTCAAAGGCCAAGTTCAGTATCTTAAACACATTTCATGTGGTGCCTATTGTTGTGGCCGAGTGTGGCTGACGATGCCGTTGCGCGATTTGAAACAACAACAGGACTCGCACTTTAACTCCCGCTCCACCTCCATCTCCACCGCCACCTTCGACTCGAACTGGGTAGTCTGCTCTGATTCTGGGCCATGCAGCCGCCGCCTCCACCGCTGGCATATGACCCAATTTCGTTGGCGAAGTGCGAAAGTGAAGCTCTGAACTCCACGGAGTTGCCAACTTCTCGATGCAAGTCGGACTGTGGGCAGACTTTTCGCCCTGACTGTTGGATGTGCATCAGCTTTGAAAACGATCTTTTGAGACCCCAAAAGGAATAATGCGGAGGCAGGTTGAATGTTGGTGCCTCTTCAAACAAGGATCTATGTGTGTGTGTGTGTCTCAAGTGTTAATAGGCCACATTATCTATTCACTGGAAATTAGTTGTTCTAACTGGGATAATCCGAGAGAATAGATCACTAAAAGGCATACATACATATGTATGTACATATATGTATGTGTGTATGTAAGCGTTTAGAAGTCCTTCCCGAATTGTTGAACTTAACTGACACATTGTAGGGTACTTTGGTGTTGCAAAATCCAATGCCGTACAGAGCGACGATAAGCATGGGCTGCTCATAAAAAACAACACAAATGAAAACAACAAACAACCGCAACAACAATCGCAGTCAGCAATTCGTTGTCGTCGTTGTTTTCGTCCGGTTTTCGTGGTTTCTCTGACTGAGTCTGAGAATTGAACGGCGATTTCTACACATGCATAGGCGATTACATACACATATGCATAAACATACGAATGCATAAACATATCCATATATATGTATGTATGTATGTGTATCTAAAATATACATATGTATGCATGCGATTACAGACACAAACATGAAATCGGACGTCGCCGTATCATGTAGGGTATTTGTGTTTCACGCTGGCCGCATTCGCCAATAATCCAAAAAGACAGCTAGTTTGCGCTATAATTTAAGACAAAATTTTGTTATAGCGCGAAAATTCGACAATACGGCACAGCCTACACACACCCACACAATAACACGCATCCACACTCATGCATTACTTCGTCTCACACGCACACACACTCTCTCTCTCGCTCTCTCTGTCTCTCTTCAGTTCAGTTGCTCGCTCGCTTTGGTTGTTTGTTCGCCGCTCTTAGCTGCCAAGCGCTAGCAGGCAAAATTTGTGGTACAGTACGGTTTGCTTTCATTGCTGTTTCTGCTTCGGTTTGCTTTTGCTTTTGCTTTTTGATGTACTTGCCTTGTCTTTAACATTTGCTTGCTCTGCTTATACGGCGATGCGATGCTCAATGCTGGGGTACAAGGATTTTTCCATATTTCTGTTTAGAAATAAGCAATGTACAACATTTCTTCAACACGCCGATTCGATATCAGCATTTAGAGATGGGCACGTATATTATCTTTCGTGACACGAACCAAGACACATAAACCTAGCCTAATAATTTATTCTGACAATCATGTTATGTAAAACATTATCTACTTATACGATAATGTGTGGTTAAAAGAGAGCGGAAGAGGTATTGAGAGTTTTGTCGTTGACTAGTTCGATCCAATCCGAACAACGGGATGTTGATACGGCGACCCGATGTTCGCCTTCACGTATTGCTAGTGAGTTATACAAATAAATAAGTACATACATATGCAAGTATATTTAAAATATGAATAATTCTTGAATGCGATCAACAATATATATAAATAATTTAATAACCGAAGAATTAGAAAAGGTCGTGCGTGAATTGTGCCGAGACCTTACGATACGGTACCCAACTTAAATCATCTTCGTGCTTGCAAACTCAGAATTCATTCTCTATTGGATCGAAATATGAGCTTGCATCATATTGCACATTGTCTCAGATTATTTAAAATTATACTTAAAAAAAAACTTCCACACTTAAGCGTATTTTCATGTCAATCTCCAATAATTATTACGAAATTTATAAACAATATTTCGTAAATCACACATAAGCAGGAGTAAAGATATTCGTATATTTTGTTGTTGTTTCCTGTAAACCTTTAAGTACATTTATAGTTTGAGTTATCTTCCCAACAGACGGAACCATTGGGCTCTATCTTATAAAGATTTATTCAGCTCCTCTTAATAAGAGAAACCATTTCCTGGCCCAATTACTCAAACAAGTTTGCCTCCGTCGTGTCACCGCCAATCTTACGGCGCTCCATCGATAGCATATACTGAATCTTGGACTGCATGATCATCGCATTCGAGAGAGGCATGCTGCGTAGTTGGGCCGCAACGCTAAGTCCGAAATATGTAAACTCATCATCGCCGGTTGACTGTAACGCCCGTGGTCGGTCCACTAACGAGGAGTTCTCTGTGGGCAGTGAGGTGACTTCGAGTATTTGAGGTGGGACTGGCGAAGGCGGTTGAGCTGGAGGTGTGATTAGGCGCAGTGGCGGGGGTGGGGTCAGCGTGGGCTTTAGGGGTAGAGCTGTTGTTGGTATAAACACCTGTTGGTTTGGCTCAAGTTCCATTTTGATTTCGGGATTCTCTTCGGACTCCAACGGCAGGAGCTTGATCGTCTTCAGGCGCGGCAATTTGATCTGCAGTCGCTTTAGGGGTGGTGAATGAACCGACACCACCTCCTCGTCCGATTTCTGCTTATTCGGAATATTCACCATAAATGCTGAATGCAGTAGAAATTGTTATAAGAAAATTTACCTTGTCCAAAAACTGTGCGAGAAACTTGTGTAACGGAGCAAACCAAGGAATTTTCGGCGTGTACTTTGCATTAGTCCTGATCTTCTTGAGCTCCTGATGATAGCCAGAGCGCATATTCTTGATTTTCATTTTAAGACCCTGCAATGTTATCGGATTTTCATTGGGTTCCGCCTCGGCGTTAATGCCGAGCTGTATGCGCTTGTAGGCAGCATTCCGAGCACCCCACAGATATGGTCGACGGTTCCACAGGCACGGCTCACGGCTGTACAGCTCCACAAACCTTATATGACGCTCGTCGGTAAAGCGAAATGGTAGGCCCCCCCCGTTGCTGGTCATGCCTACAACAGCTCACGAGCAGGGAATCGAGGTGGAGGGGAAAATGCGAAAAACCGTTAGGCGACCGCGCGCTCGAAATGCTTGCTGAGAACTGTGGCCTGCCAATTGTTGCTTTTGCTCTGAGCAGCTTTTTCTCTTGGCGTTCGGCTCTTGTCGTGCTCATTGATGAAGCTTTGGCTTTGCTTTTGTTTTGCTGCCAGCTTTTGTTTATTTCTCACATATCTGCTTTTGCCTCGTCTGCAGTGCCATCAAGAAAAGCACGTCTAGCGAAGAAGTCGCGAAGCAATTATCGATAGCTGCTAGCAACCGATTGGCGATGCGATATAAGCTCTTACGTTTGGGAGAGAAGCTTCCATGCACAGCATCCTCCCACTCCCAACGTCCCTTGCAACCTTTGCAATTAAAAATTCCGTTTGACTGCAGGAAATTAATCAATCAGCAACGTACATACATACATATGTATATTTGTTATGTCGGTACTAAGATCCGGTATGGTAATGGAATTAAGTATTGCTTGGCATGCTTGATTGAAGTAGCGACAAAATTTCGGCTAAGAGAATCAAATTCAATTGCATTGTCCTAGTCCTTGTTATCGCATACCTACTTCCAGCATCTACCCTATGCATTTTCATGTGAACTCAAAGATTTCGTTCCTAAAAAGACTATGTGCACTTCGAATGCTGAAAATGCAGCTTAGCAAGACAACGCACACACAATTCGAGGCGAGTCCTGCGTTTGCCTGCCAGCCAGCTATCCTGCCTGCGTTACTTCCCCGTCTCGTCTGTTCATGCTATCCTTGTTGCTTTGTGAACTTCAAACAGCGCGTGACATCGTTATCCTTTGTACGGCCGGCAGCCGTTGCCTCCCTGCTAGAAATTTACGAGCAAACAGCATCAACTGCAACGCCATTTTTCTCTAGGCTTCAGTTCGACTCATTTTTCCAGCGCTCTTCATATTTTTTTTTTTGGCGGGAAATTGATCCGCAGCCTCTGCCGTGCATTTAGGTGGTAACTGGCCGCCAAATCTCTGCAATGTTTAACCCTAAACGGGACAGCAGAAGTTACAAGCAGCCGTTACAACTTTGAGAACTGCCCTTGTGGTCTGTTCTAACTGCATTGCATGAGATTGCATGCGATTTCTCCCAAACGAAGTACAGAAGGATCGCGTTCTGAATGGACCGTGTTGTTGTTCTATTCAAATCGCTGAATAGGATAATAATCTATAATGAAAATATTATTAAAAATATACATTCCCTATTTACTACTTTTATATTTGTCATACTACTAAAACTAAAACTTTGCTAAGTAATGTACATACTTGTATATACATATGCATTCATAACTGCCCACAAATTTGTTAAACTTGATCGCTTCAAATCGTGCAGTTCGAATAAACTATGCATTAATTACATTTATGAAAATATTTTTTCTGTAAAAATTACACTTTATTTTATTATATTTAAATAATGTTTTATCACATCGAGTATCGCTTAACGCGTTTATTTGTGACGTCAACGTTTGGTTTCAACCTTGTTTTTGTCGTCGTTAGTACTCACGACAGCAAGCTGGATGCTACAACTCCATAAAAAAAGCATTGCTCATTAAACGAGAAGAAAGTAAATGCAAGAAGCAAAAACGTAAATTGGTAAATCTCGCTTGTGCAACAGTGATTAAGTAACTTTATTTAAATGTTTTACTTATTTTTGCGAATGAATACAAGTCTAACATTTATGTGCAGCTTGTATGTGTTCAAGCGTTTAAACAAATCAAATATTGAAGAGAGGTTATTGACATTGAGCAATGTTGAATTTCAGAACCAAAAACTATATATTAATATCCATTTATGTATCTACAAAAACATTCAATGCATGTTTGTCGTGTAAAATATGTTTTTACATTCATCTCCAGACTACAATTTCTGTTTTGGCGCCATTTTTAAGTCCAGTCTCAGTCAGAGCTCCTTTTGTATGTACCAGTGAGAGAGCCATTGACTGGTCTCGCCTTTGGTGTGTATGCGTGCCACTCATAGGGAATATATGGGGCACATTAGCAATATTTTAGATGGTTCATATTTGTAAGTTAGCTAATTTGAATTTGTTTTTATTGCAAATGCGCTTTGTGGTCGTCATTTATTCTATTTACATTTCAAACAGAATTTTATTGACGTTGTTTTTGTTTTTACATGGCTTTTAGCGGTGTTTCTGCTTTAACTTTTTACTTCTGCTTTATCTCAACGAGTGTCTCAGATAATTTGCCGGCTGTATTTCCACTCGCTCTCTCTTGTTGACTCTCCTAGATATGGTTACGTGTCGTGAGACACAACGAATAATCTGCAATCAGCTTGCAAATCTAATATATAAATTATTAAAATTAAGCGAAAATTTATTTGTTAAAATTAACAACATATAATAATGTTCAGTATTATAAATGTTTAATGATAAACTTATGCATTTTTACAAAGTTTATCAAAAGACGTGCCAAGTCGTGAATTGTTGAAGCGCATGTTGCGTCACGCACTCATCTTAAACAGCATTGTTGCCTGCGTCGACTGCGACGCTCTCACCGTTTTCACCAGCTGGCAGCTGCTCGCTTTCGTTATGACAGTAGACGCCAAGTCCGTACAGTTGAAATTGAGCAGCACACGAGAAAGGTTGGTTCAGTCCTAAGAACTTGTGAAATATAAAATAAAATATACTTAGTGGATTATAGTGAACGCAGAAGACAAGTATATATGTATATTTTTTTAAAATAGTGCAGTGAAACAACGATAATTAGGACAATCAAATGAAAAAACGACTACTTTCAGTTATCGTTCACACTTTTTGCCGTCTAGAGAGCACACTTCAGTTCGTCGCTGTGAAAAGTACGACGCTGCTGTACCAAGAGACCAAAGCGTTGCCATTTCGGGCTTTTTGCTCGCCGTGAGCGGCGCCAAGTCAAAATGGCTGCCTAGGCCATTCATTTAATTAATTTTGCATAATTGTTTTTGAGCCATGCGTTACATTCTTCTTGAGCAATATATTGTTTTAATAATCCCGCGCGCAGCTAACCAAAATGCGCGCTTTTTTGGCCTATTCACATATTTTACATTGTTTCCGTATTTGTATTTGTTTTTACTCGTCATTTAACCGAGTTTCTGCTTTGCCTCGCTCTTTGTGCTCTCTCTTTTCGACCTCTCTCTCTCTCTCTCGGTCAGACAAACAGCCCAGCCGGCAATTTATCTGCTGCCGACGTCGCTGCCGCGCTGCGCGCCCAACGCTGTCTGCTTTCAGTTTCCTTGCCTTTTTGCTTGCTTCACTCAGTACAGTTGAAGTCGGCGAAGAAACGTGGAAGGTTGGTAAACGCAAGCAGTAAAAAAAATATTTTAAAAGAATTTTGTGCAATCAAAGACTAAATCTAATTTTAAAGTGTGACAAACTTGTTTTTGATTCATTTTATTGAATATACCAAAAAAGAATAAAAGTATTTTATACAGTAAAAGCTGACGGGCAAAATTGGCGAAACAAAGAATGTGCAATTTATTAAATGTCGGACAAGTGTCATATTTAAAAAGTAGAAATGCTGCTTTAACAGCCATTTAATAAGCATATTTAGCACACTTTTCTGTGCATTTTTGCCTGCTGCTTGCTTTTTCCCATCAAAATTTGCTCTTTGTAGTACATTTCTCATACAAAACGTCGCTTGGCCTGTGCCAAAGAGCGCGTCGCACACACGACGCTGCTGTACTACACAGGCACAGGCCCAAGCAGCCAGTCCGAGGCGGCAGTACATACAGAAAAAAGTGTTGCCATTTCGGTCGTTTGCACTCGACGCTGAGGGAGTGCAGAACGAAAATGGCTGCTAATGTCGATAATGCTGTAATTTGGCATTTAAACGCTTATTTTTTTGTTCATTATTAATGCAAATAATTTTGATATGAATATGTGAATATTGTTAGCTGCGCGCACTCTGCTGTCGCTTGTACCAGAAAGACGCGCGCGCGCGCTTTTCTCAAACGTCAGCGTCGACGTTGCGCCAGCAGTGTGTGCGTGTGAGCAGTATTGCCATCTCTCTTGACGCGACGCTTTGCGCGCGGCCATTGCTGCATGTGTGTTGGTTGGTTATTCGATTTGTGGTGGTGGCTTCTCTGGTGTGAGCGCTAGTTTTTACGGTCGCTCGCTGAGTACATGGCGTGTATATTTTTTTTCTTCCTGCAATGAAGATACTAATGTATGCTTGTCTTTTTAATCATTTTTATTGCAGCTCGAAGCTTATAGCAAATTAATTTAGTAACTTACTACTTACACACAACAACACAAAAGAAAATGGCCGACAAACCAAAACGTCCGCTCTCCGCTTACATGCTGTGGCTGAACAGCGCTCGCGAGTCGATCAAACGCGAAAGTCCCGGCATCAAAGTTACCGAAGTGGCCAAGCGCGGTGGTGAATTATGGAGGGCAATGAAGGATAAGTCGGTAAGTAAAGCGCACGCCCAGCTTTAATTTAAATCGAAAACTAATTAAATCTGTTATTTTTTTTTCGCCATTTCTTGTTTGCAGGAGTGGGAGGCAAAGGCAGCTAAGGCTAAGGATGATTACGATCGCGCCGTCAAGGATTTTGAGGCCAACGGCGGCAGCAGTGCTCCTGCTAATGGCGGTGCCAAGAAACGTTCAAAACCTGCGAAAAAACCAGCGAAAAAAAGCAAAAAGGAAGATTCTGACGACGACGATGACGATGAAAGCGAGTAAGGGATCGCTTCACAGGGGTCATAATAGAAACCACAAGAACATCATCAGTGGACCTGTCAGTCAGCCAATCGCATTTCGTCTAAACTCCACCCACCACCACCACCACCCCCCTACACTCCACATGCACCCAAAACATAAAATAAAAAACAAAAAACCATAGCATAGAAATACAAAGACCCCCCCAATATTAAGAAACCGTTGAACAGGAAAGTTGCCGTCGAAAAAACGCGACTGTTGAAAAAAGTACCAACACGAACATATGCAAAATTGTATTTATACATAAGAATTTAAGTTTATAGTAGGCGTTTCTTTTAGTATACACATCTTTACGAGAGAGGACAAAACAGTTTTTAAGTCGAGCTCAAGGCGCGGAATTCTTCCTGTCGCCTACAAAGAAAACAATTTAAGAAGACGGCAAAAAACATTGATCAATTTGTATATCTTGCATAAAAATTTGTAAATTAAACGATAACGTAATTCCATTATAAATAAAAACAACAAAAAATCGAAAACTACAATTGTTCTGAGAATATCCTGTACGGTACCCAGCCCCGCCCCAAGAACCCAACTTGATGACATTGCTAGGGTCTGCCAGGAGAAACGGCTTTTCACCGTCTATTATATAGATCGATATATACCAATAGCTCTAATGCCTAATGTTAAAAGTTATCGAAAAAAAAAGAAACAAATGAAAAAGAGTGTACAAACAAAAAAATTGAAAGGGCCTTGAGAGAGCTTTTTCACGACGTTCGAAATGGAACGAAATTTCGCTCAGGTTTTTCGTAATTATTGAACTCTAGAGAAACATCTTTGTTAATCCCTAAAGATGTTGCAGAATAAATCAGAGATGTATTGCATTTAATTTGTAGTCTTAATTAATACCTATATAATTTAATTCCAATATGAGAAACTAATAAAAAGAAATAAAATACATTTTTTTAAATGCGTTAAAAAAAGTACTAAGTGATTTCTTTGGGTGCATTAAAGTATATTAGGGGGAATCCCCATATCTAAGCTGAAGGATTTAGCTGATTTCCCCATATAATAGGGCAAGGTTGATCAACCTTGAGGCTGCATATTAGAATAATTAAAAAAAACCACAGCTTAGAGTAAAAAAATAAGACAAGTTGAAACGTTTTTCTTATTTATTGTTTTAAATATCATCTTCCAATAATCGATAACTAAAACTAAATGATTTCATCTGCTGCTGGATTCGGTACATTTCAACATTACCATCAAAATTCATTAGTTTTAAGAGTTATGTAATGTATTTTTATCTATTGCATACAAATACCGTTAGTTTCACGTTGTTGGGATCAAATATTACTCCATGCGATTATGATTAACAATGTTTAGGCTAAAAACTACATTTAACAAAAGCACACGAGAATTCAGATCAACTTTGAAATGTGATTTTAAAAATTATGCGCTATTAGATTAAGTCACAAATATATATATATATATATAATATAGATAAATATATATATATATATAAAACAATATTTCAGTTCCGTGCTTTGGATTGGTTCGGAAGGGATACACACACCAACAAAAGTTCAAGGTCGCGACAGTTTGCGGCGTTTCGGGTGGTTTTTGGACAGTTCACAAAAACAAATACAGGGTTTACATATAGAAGAAGCATTTTGACTTAATTCGATTCTATATATTGACAAATATTAAAAGTGATGCTTTGTTTTTGGGTTCCACGACGGAAAAACAAATCGAGGTTGAGCCTATTTAATTACAGAACTTATAACGAATATGGCAAAAAAAAAAAACTAACGAAGTCTCTCTCTTGGAGCCATTTACAAAAAAAAAAAAGATGTAAGAAAACATTGAAAACTGCTCCGTTTTCCCGGCTAGCGTTGCGTGTGTGTATGCAGCAAGAAAACAAACGAAGAAAAGCACCATCAGGCTCCATCTCGCGGCCCCATCTCTAGCGATTCAGCCAAAAGATGGTCTTCAGCACAAAGTAGGCCAGTCCCAGGCAATAGACAATCTTCTCGCGCTGCATTCGCTGATCATTGTTGATCTCAATGTTGAGCACGCGCCGATTTAGCTTGGCCAGCTGCCGGCGCAGATACAGGATCTCCTCGTGCGGCGTCAACTCGCCCATGGGCGTGCCCTCACGCTGGGCCAGCATCGAGGCATCCAAATTGTTCTGCTGCTGCTGCTGCTGCATCAGCTGGGAGCGTTTGCTCGCGCTGCCCGTTGTGAGCTATGGACAAAAGACGGAGAAGTGCTCGTTAGGATTGGGTTAACTGGGTTTCAGCATGGTTGTCGGCCGATCTTAACTTACGGCAAAGTTTTGACAGACCATCGTTTAAATAAAATATATAAAAATATATGGTTGAATATAATTCTTTGCTATTTGTCTAAAATTTGACAAATCTATAAAAGATAATCACAATAGGTAAAATCTGCCTATTTTGACTGTGTAATCCTGATGCCATGATAAATCAAGGATTCATTTCCAAGAGCTTGCAATTGCAAATGCATTTGGGGAATATGGGGACAAAATAAAAGTACAAAACTTGCAGTTTTAAGTGGACAAGTTAAAAATTGATAAACTATTCCAGAATTTTGGAAGGCATCGTAGTATTCCTGGCATTTTAGACATTTACTCAAATTATTGAGCACAAACTTTTTTTCAAACAAGTTGGTAAACAAAATTTTAAAGTACAGAGAAAAGTTGGTCAGACATGTCACAGGCGCATTATTCCGATGAGGAGGACCTGCCCAAGCTGGAGTCCATAAGCAATGCCCTCAAGTGCGAGCAAACGGGTCACATTATGGAGGCGATACTGCTCTACGAGGAAAGCATCTTCAAGCTGAATCAGCTGTCCAACTCGGACCCCAAGAAGCAGCATTTGTGCGTCAAATATCTGAAGCTTTACGAGGCGCGTGCCAAGCAGTTGCGTGACCAGGTCAAGGGTCATCTGCATGCCAGCAAAATGCTGGATCACATCGTCATTGAGCGGGACGCACGTGGACGGAGCTATCAGCGTCTGCTCGGTGCTTATCTGAATGACAGTGTCAAGGAGGCGCACCTGAACGAGCCACATCTCAGCGAGCAGCATCAGTTCAAGAACCTGCTCAACTTCTTCGAGGTGCTGGTCAAGAATTGTCGCTACCTGAAGTACATACGACTGACGACGCGGCCGGATCCGGCGTTGCCCAAGAATCAGCTGCACATACTCCAGCAGATTCGCGCCGATCTGGCAACGGGCAACATTCACATGAACTTCCAGCTGGACGAAACGCTGCACGATCGCAAGATCGTGCTCAGTTCGGGCGTTGTCATCAAGATTGGACGCGGCTTGCACTACTTTGAGCCCACCGAGCACATGTACACGCTGGGCTTGTGCGACTATGACTTTCGCAAGTGCCTGGCCACCGAGGTCGACGTCTGGAAGTGTCGCGCCTTTTCCAAGCCACTCAAGGAACCATCAGAGCGACCCGCCTACAAACAGCCGCCCAAGGATCCTGAGAATCATGCTCAGGCCAACGTCTACTCAAGTGAATAGTGTGCGCCATTGGCAGTTTCGGGATACAGACAGAGATATAACATTTTTGGTCAGATATTTATAAAACGAATTGTGGTAATAGGCATAAAATATACATCAAAATGTAACTGGAGGGATTCCGTCAAGATATGTACGATTTTTGCAGGGCATTTAAGAGATGATTCATAATAAACAATTGCAAACAAGAAGCTAAGGTGATATTTGCATTATAGGAACATAATAAAGCACGTAAATTAAGCTTAGTTAAAGAGTCTTCCTATTTTGAGACTAAAAAGGAATACTCCTTTAAAGAATTGAGATTTCTTCAGCTCTTGGTTCGGGCTGAGGAGAAAGATTTGCTCTGAGCTGAACTTCAAGCCGCAAATGCCAGACGATTTACTTGTCGTCAGCAGTTCATTAATCTTTAAACAATAAAAAAATGTGGTTGGGAATGTGAGTGTGTGTGTGAGTGTGTGTAGAAAAGCTGTTGCCATTGGAGGCACTCAGATTTCGTCATGGAACACATGCGCTGATAATGGAAGTGGACTCTGAAAGATTACGCTGATCGAAATTCTATCGAGTGCGGCGTCACGAACTGAAATGTGACGTAACTTGGGATTAGGAATTCCAGAGTCGAAATCTGCCCTTTTACTTTGCGCAATCCGAATATATTAACCATTTAATAAGAATGCAAAATCGATGGAAACATTGCGAGTGCTCACCTGCGAGTCCGATTCCACGGAGTTGGCATCGTTACTGTTATGAAAACCCATGCGGACGTTGCCATTGGAGCGCACATATTGCGTGGCACGGGCATCATCATCGTCCTCGTCCATGTCGCCATCCAGATCGTGACCATAGAGATTGCCATTGGGTTTGAGTGGTGAATTTTCCTCGGAGGCCGATGGGAAATGATGATCCGTGAGTGTGATGACGCGCGGTGGCGTTTGGACGCGCAGAAAGCCCATTGACGGATTCTTGGGTAATATTGAGTTCTCCAGTTGGATTTCACGCGGCGCCGAGCGCGTCTCCAGATGCTGATTGTGCCCCAGCACCACAATCCGGTCGGGCACATTCATATCGATCTTGTCGTGATAGTTCCACGAGCTGATCATCCCGTTCTGGTTCGACAGCAACAGATCCTCGTCCGAGAACTCTCCCGTGGCCTTGATGCGCTTCGGCACGCGCATCTTGTCGTTGATCTCGTGCGCGAACTTGGCATCGTTATACAAATCGTCATCCAGCCCGTTGAACATTGGTGCGGGTGATTGCGGTGTGACCATAGCGCTTTGGCTTGAACTCCTACGTTATTTCCGGTGTCCACTTCGACACGGTGGCTGGGGCTGCAGGGGGTGTGGCTGCGGCTGCGGTGCTGAGTTGGGACACGGCCAGATATTATGGGAGGCGTTAGGAGAGAGAGACGTTTTCATAACAGTTATAAATCACTGGTAATTTAAGTGGAGGTTGCACAACATATTTGCTGTTTGTTGCGTCGAGGAACTTTTTGTTATTTTCGTGCTACTTACATTTTTAGAACTGACAGAAAAACTTCCGTATATTCCGTGTTAATTTTAAGTTTTTTCTTTATGCTCGCTGCCTGCCTTTTGTTGTAGAATTATGTGTGTGCAAAAAGGCAGCAAAAGAATGTGCTAAAATTGACCATAAACGCGCCTGAGCTGCATAGAGTACAGGGCTGTGCTGCAGTGCAATAAATAATAGAACTAGTTAAATCATTACTATTAGAACATTTAAAGAGAAATTAAACATAATAATGAGATTGCTTTTTATAATGTCAATAACTTATATTAATTCCTATTTTTATTTGCTGCAGTTCTAAGTTATGTATGTTGGCAACTCTACAACGCGCAGTCATTCACCACGAAACGGTAACATTAACGCACGCATACAAGTACATTTGCTAACGCGTTGCCGCGCTCATTTGCAACAATATTTCTGAGGCATTCGGACAAATCGACGAGCGTCCTTCTTGAAAAGGCTGATATAAGCAATATTAATGTGACTTATTAAAAAAAAAAAGACGTACATAAATATTTATTTAATAACTAAAAACGAATATTCTTTTCACGCACATTGGCTGCGGTTTAATTGTAAGTGCATTACAGCCAGACAACAGTATTCGCTGCAGTCGCTGTCGGCTGCGCTGTCGACGTCGCCGGGTACAGTACGCGCCGTTTTTTGTGTGCCAGCTGAAAAGTGTTGTTGTTGTTGCCGTAGAAGCAGCTAGTTTCTGGCGGGGCAGGGCGGGAAAGTGTAAATACAAATAGCTTGCAGCACTAGCATGTGTGTGTGTGTGTGTGCGCGGCGTAGACTATAAATAAAATATAGCGCGCTTATAATAATATTGTATATTGTATATTATATAAATACATTTTGTGTATGTACTTACAGCACACACAGTAGGGGCCATTCACATAGAGCAACTACTGCAATGGATCGACGCTTGAGACGTCCGCGCCGCACAGAGGAATTTGCACCAGTTGCCGCCCCTGCAGCAGCTCCCGGCACACAGACTAGACGAGCCGGCTCCACCACAGCCCCCACAGTGGGCATTGCAACGCGCACACGTGCCTCACCCTCACGCAACAAGGTGTTGCCAGACCCACCCTCAGCGGATCTAGGGCCGCGCACACGCCGCTCCAGCAGACCGCGTTCCGCTGCCGGGCAGCCCACTGCAGCAGCAGCCTCCATCAAGGCCACGATAAAGGCCCCGACGCCCATCAAGGAAGTCAATGAGGTTGGTGCAGATTCTTTTCTCTCTCTATAACACATCAACTGTTTTTATTGTGTGTTTATGTGTGTGCGTGCGTGCTAACCGGTTTTCTGGTCGAGGCTATTAGCTTTGTTATCTCTTTTGGTTAATCATTACTGTCTACACTGTATTAAGAACTTATCAAGCGGGAGCTCTCTTAATATATGTATGTTCGTCTAGTTTTTTTTTATATCAGCGAAAAGTATAAACATTAGGGAGGTGAATTGAGTTCATTGTAGAAATACGCTAACTGTCACGCGAGCAGATACACTGCTATTTTTTGTATTTGCCCAGAAGAATGTGGTCTAGATATGTAATCGCAATATGTTTGCGATAGTATCTACGTACGTCTTTTCGAAGAACAACAAAGGGAGTTTTTATTCTCCTGTAAAGGGTATTGTAGTTTTGTCATTGAATATGTAACGCCCAGTAGATAACATTTCCGTCTCTTGATCAGTATCAACAGCCAAGTCGATAAATTCATTTCCGTTTGCCTGTCTGGCTTCCGTCTCCCTCGTCTTTAGTCTTAGTTTTAAAGCTATCCTCATATGACTGCCTAAATCTGTATTTCTTTGACTTTGACTATATGGTCCTTATATTCAAGACAAATCTGGTTTATTTCGGCCCACCATATCATCAAGTTCTTGTATAAAAGTAGTTTTTGTTTATCTGCTTGCCCCAACTGGGAACTTTCTAGTTACACTATGCTCCTTACAGCTTATTAAGATCGCCCTGCTTCATTATATAGCTACCATAGAAACGATTGGTCGAAAATAAAGTTCTCTTATAAACAAATTTTGCTGTCTTTCGTGATAACTTGAGCAATCCCGGCATTTATATGCTCCATATATATAGCCATATATTATAAACATGTGACTACCATGTCATATAGATCTATAGAACTATATTAAAAAATGATCTGTAAAAGATCTCTTCAGCAAACTGATCAATTACGAGCCTTTCTATTCTCACATATCTGTAGGGCGTAGAAGCGCATTTTATCTTCGGCGTGCTGAAGATATTCGTTTCTTATTCCATGGAAAACTGTTACAAATGGTTCTATGCAAGTGTATGTTATAGAAAGAAACACCGACCCATAGAATGTATGTATTCTTCATCATGTTGATAAGCTGAGTCTATTTAACCAAGTCTTCTGTATAAATGTCCGATCTCAAAAAGTTTCGTATAAATAGATGTGTGTATCATATGCAGGTCGAGTTTTTTCTTCCTTTTACACCTTTGTAGGGGGAATTATAATTTTGTCATGAAATATGTAACGCATAGAAGGAGACATCTCCAACCCCATAAAGTATATATTTTCTAGATTAGCATGAACAGCTGATATAGAAATGAAAAAAACCACCAAATTTTGTATGTAGGTTCTCCTATAACATACACATATATCAAATATTTCCCTTTTATGATTAGTTTCCCCTTTCCATCCAATATTGAAAATAAATATGGCTTTTTGGTGTACGATTTCGCTCAAGATGCTTGCTGGGTCCGGGTCTCGGGATGAGCTGAAAGTACAATTCTGATCCTCTTTAAACTAGTTGTATTTAAATTTGAGCATATAAGTTATTAATATGATTAAATATCATTCAGGTATCATCTCCAGTGCGCAACTCGAGCAGCTTTCCGATTACATTGACCACAAACACATCGTCGCGTGCGCCCAACCAGGCGATGCTCACCTCCTCGGTGAACAGCGGGGACAGCCATCGAACCTACAGCAGTAGCACGACGACTACACAGCGCATTGAGATCCGCGCCGAGGGCGGCACCGGGGCGGATGTGGACACGGATTCCATACGCAAACGTATCACAGATCGCCTGCGGCGTTCTCTATCGAAAACCATCTCGAATGTGGCGGGCACGCCGACGGTCAATAGGGAGGATGCGGGCAGTCGCTACAGTCGCTCCGTTTCACGTTCTGTTTATGACGACGAGAAGAGCTCGAAGCGCAGCTACTCCACCGGCGAGGAGGATATAGATGAGGAGGACGAGCAACTGGAGGGTGATGAGCAATTCCGCAGTTTCAATGTCACGCGACATTCGACGACGCCCCTGCTGGAGGCTAATGTCTGTCGGAAACTGCAGGTGCCCCGCGAATTTGGTGGCTGGCCGGGCGCACTGCTGCTGCTAGTGCTGATGCCCGGTCTGGTTTACTATCTCACCTGGAGCTGCACGGCCCGCAATGCCTGTCAGTTCAAGCGTGCCAATCTCACGGTTCTGCTCGACTGGCACTATCTGACACGTCAAGTGTTCCAGACGCATGTCGTTGGCGTCTTCACGGCCTATCAGTTTGTGGTCTTTCTGCTGGTGGCCCTGCTGCCAGGTCGACGGGTCCATCTGACACGCGAAACATACAAATTCAATGGATTGGGCGTGTGCTTCACCCTGTTGATCGCCGGCGGCATCGTCGAGTACCTAAAGTATCCGATTGTGAGCTTTGTGCTGCGCCACTATTTGCGCTTCTGCATCTATGGACTGGTCAGCGCATTTGTGTCCGCCAGCTGGAGCTATTGGCGAGTGGACACCACCAAATACAATGTGCTGCGCCAGACGCTGGCCAATGACTATGGGCGCAGCGGCAACTTTCTGGTGGACTTTGCTCTGGGGCGTCAGCTGAATCCCAAATGGCTGGGACGCGTCGACTGGAAGCAGTACTACTATCGCCTCTCGCTGGTCAGCACCTTGCTGTATGCCGTCTGCTACATCTACCAGACGCTGCAGTGGCCCCATTGGCCACAAGCCCAGGAGGGCTACGTCTACTTGTTGCGCTATTACTGGAACAATCTCAACTATGATGCCGGCGCTTTGCTGGCGGCCAGTTCGCTGCTTATCTACGTGCTGGATGCGCTGCTGTTTGAGCATCACTTGAGCTGCTCCTTTGAGCTGCAGCACGAGGGCTACGGCTGTCTGCTGCTGCTACGCTATGCGGCCACGCCCTATTTGCTTAGCTCGGTCAGCAAATACTTCTACGAGCAGCGTGTGCCCATTGGCAGCTGCCTGATGCCAGCTGGGGCGCTGTTGCTGCTGCTTGTGGGTCTCTGCATCAAGCGCTACAGCTGCGCCTACAAGTACAAGTATCGTCTGAACTCACAGAACCCCATCTTCGCCAACATCGACACCATACACACCTACCAGGGCAGCCGGCTGCTGTTGAGCGGCCTGTGGGGACATTTGCGCCAGCCCAACTATTTGGGCGACATACTCGCCCTCTGTGCGCTGGGCGCGCCCATGATCCTGCGCCCCGCCTGGCCGCCAGTGCTGTCGCTGCTGTTGTTGGTTCTTGTTCTCTTGCATCGCGCCACCCGCGCCAATGCACGCAATCAGGGCCGCTATCACTCATCCTGGCACCGCTACTGCACCCAGGTGCGCTACTATGTACTCCCCAAGATTTACTAATCTCGCGTCGCTCAATCAATTTTCATTTTTATTTGGCTCTGTCCACCGTTTTATTTTATTAGCTTTTAGTTACATTCGAATTTTCTTTTGTTTGTATATATATTCAGTACATCGATATCATGTATTCCATTCACATTTGCTGCGTGTCGCAGTCCCCTTTTTCCCTTTTTCCCTTTCAATGATTTTAGTACAAACTTATAATTTACTTCGAGACAAAAACAAAATCTAAAAAGAATTATATATATATTGCTAAGGCCTAATAATAAATCGCTATAGCCATAATAATTATATACAACTTATATAATTAGACATTTTCTAAGACTTAGACTATAATATTTAACTCCTTTTTATGATACTTGTAGCTTATGCAAATTTTAAATCATGTACCATGTAAATATCGCAATTACTTTATTATAATAAACAACATAATTTCGTTTCTAGAGACAACGAAACGAAACAAATATGGTTTTGATTTGGTATTTCTATGTTTTATTATATTACTAGCGGGTATACCCCGGCCTTGCCCGGGGTACGTATAAAATAAATAAACAAAGAGCCAAACCTCGTGGAAACGGGGGTTGGAAATTTTTACCTATGCCTATGTATTTGAGGCAACCATTTTCACTTGAATTTTGACCAAAAATAATGTTGCCAGATTTAGATGCCAAATTAATTTAAGGGTCAAACCATGAACAAAAAGCCAAACCTCATGAAAATCGGTAAGGATTGGGGATACGATTTTCACTTGAATTTGACTAAGAATAATGCTGTCTGATTTAGATGTCAAACCATGAACGAAAAGCCAAGCCTTTTGAAAATCGAATGAAATCGGAAAATATTAGCTGGTATTACAAAAATTACAGTTTTTCTATAAGCAAATCCAGTTTTATCAAAAATTTGAAATATTAACGGTCAAACTGCTTTCACAAACAATGCACTGCTTGTGCACTGTTTGCAACACACATTCAGTAAACGCTGTCAAAAGTTACTTCTTCTTGTTGGCAGGTGGCGCTTCAAGAGCATCCGTTGCATTTAAATTTACTTCGTGTCCCTTTCTTAAGGTATTAATTAAATAATAAGTTACCTTCTGTTTTCACTTTTAAATGTTTATTTGTCAATACTCACATAAGGTAGGCGATTTCTTAACCTAGCACCATGCCTTCCACATCTAAGTATTTCAATTTGGGTTCAATATAATAATTTATATGCATATATATTTATATATATATAAAATTAGTCAATTTAAAAATATAGAGGTGGACGAAATCAGCAACTAAACTTTTTTTTGATTATTTTAAACAATCAAATAAAAAAATTTGTAACTAAACCTTTATTAAACTGTTTTGCCTAAGTCATAGGCTTGACTGTTCAACTAATTCAACTAGTTCGGCTTGAGGCTCATGGTTAATAAAAACTTGGAATTCTTGGCTAACCATGGCTCTAATGACATTTTTTGGTGAGCCATAATAATGCCATTAGTTAATTTAGAATAGGTTACATATAATTTCTTCACACCTTCTGCTACTGAGCTTCTATAAGATAGAAAGCGTATGACCTATGGATAACTTTACATAATATACATTTAATTCAATTTTCATAAAATTATCTGCGAGTTGACCTTGTATATATTAGTAAATATAAGCTTGATATATAGTATTATATATTTTTTTGATATTTATTAATATATATTTGTGATCTCGGTAGCTGTAGGCACTTGAGCTTTGGGTTATTCTCAGAAAAAGTTTGTATTTTTCGATAGCACTTGACATTTTTTCTTTTCAATATTTATCGATTTGAAAACAGGGTTGTCTTAGGTCCATCTCTGATATGACTTATGATTGAGTCACCATGTACTCATAAAGTATATTTCACTTTTTGGATTAGATCAAATTTTATTTAATTTCTTGCATGGCATTCAGTAAGCTAAAAGGACAAGCTCTTCCGTTAGAACTATTTAGAGTGTTCTCATTGTTAAGAAAGCGGACTTAAAATTAAGGAAGAAGCACAAATCATATGCCAAATGCAATCATTGGATCTGGGCAAAGGTCTCCAATTGGAGCACGCTCATTAAAGGCGGAACGGAACTGCCTGAAAGTCCGCTGGGAAGTTCCTCGGAGGGAACAATTTGCAAATGTTGACGCCGTTATTGTATAATTTTCGTTAGGTGGGCGTGGCATTGGGTGGGCGGGGGCCGAGGGAAGTACAGTTTCATTATCAACGCCGACGGTCATTTGTAAAGCAAACCGCAAAACGGCGGCGCTGGCTGCGGTTTTTCCTTTTTTTTTTTTATATTTTTGACAGTTTCCGCGTCATTTTTCTATTGCATGCGAGCGGCGGAGTGGGAGAGAGAGCGGGAGAGGGGAAGGGCTTGGTTGACTGGGTCCAGCCAGGCAGGCAGGCAGGCATCGTCATTATTTTGGCATTATGTGCGGCGGCAGAGTGGAAGTTCGAGAATGTTGGGGCGACTCTCGCAAACATTCGTAAATGTCATTAACAGTTGTAACGGCTTTGGGGCACGCCTACTCCATGGCGGGGCTGTCGGCAAGGTTAGCTGGCCCAGGGGAGGGGAGGGGAGGTGAGGGGGGTTGCGGGGTTACTTTTTACACAAAATTACTTCTTTTGTGGGGCGCTGACATTCATCATCATCAACATTTTGTGTGTTTACTGCGCTCGGTTGCCGTGTAAACGCCATGAAATATGCTACATAATATTTTATTTTTTGATTCAATTTCAGTCGCACAACTCGGGCCAAGCTCCAGCAAGTGGCGTCTCTTAAAGCTGCAAGCACAAACATTGTTTTAATTACGCACAACAAGCGGCCAGAAGAAATAGACAAGTTTCTACACTTGACAAAAAGGTGTGGTACGTTTCTAGCAAAAGTTGGGCTTTTTAAAATGGTTTGCTTAGTGGTTTGATAGTTTTCTGAATCTATAAAACAAACATAAGCAGGGTTCGATTATGGGTTACGGTTCGATTGTTTTTAGGGCGAGTACCTTGGAGCTCAAGAAGGGTCCAGATAAATGCCAGATAAATGTAAAGGAAAGCTTTTTCAAAAAATGCAAGTTCCAATCGCCTTGAAATCGAGTTCCACAATAATATTTGTTATAGTTTTAGTACAGAATTATGCAGTATAAACCGATTTAAATTATTGTATATTGAAATTCTATTAAATTAAATAAAATTTTTAAAAATCAATATTTGCTTTCATAGAGCTTTTTGTCAATCTTCTATTCTCTCCGACCAAAAACACACAAAAATAAGTTTTCTGTCTAAGCTTGAAGTATCTATTTGTCTGAACAATTCCAATATTGACACAATTCGCATATACATATTTCGATACAAACATCGCTTATTTCCATATTGATTCATGCATCGATTAAGTTTAATACTTAAGTATTTGGGGTTTTTATTTGGAGTTCGTTTCGGTTCTTGACTAAGTTTTAGTTCCGGACTTAAAGAGCCAAATTAATTAATATTTGGAACTGTCAGTTGCTCAATTAAAAAAACTTGAACTTCTTTAATTACTGTTCAAGATATTGTTGTTCTCTATCAGCCTAAAAACTATTGTATTGATTGGGGAAGAGACTCTACAAGTAATTCAAATTTAAGCTGTCGTCATCGAAATCGATTTTCTCGATACACACATTTCGATAACACTTCTGTAAGATATTTAGGAAATATTTTGGGAAATGTGCAAAAAATATAAAAATAAAGTACGTACTACTGTAGTAATAATTGTATATTCACGCCTTTTCTCTCAGTGTATGTGACCGGGCTCCGTTTGCTTTGGCGTCCAATTGGAAGTGCACAAAATGTTGCCGGTCCTTTTGTGTGTGTTTGTTTCTTGACCACAAAATTACAGTTAACAAATTTGCAGCAACATTTAGAAAACTTCCACTCCGAACAGTGCCAACTCAGATTCAATCCTTGAACCCACCCACCCACCACTCGGCTGGTCTGCTCTTGAAGAGCTGTGGTGGACTCTTAATTGCAAACGCTTCTTAAATTTTTAAATGGGCTGCACAAGCTTTAAGGTTGATTAGATTAGACTGCTTTGCAGGAAATTTAATAGTATTACGGATACAAGGAGTAAAATAGATTAATCAAATAAACTAAATATTAAGATTAAGTCTTTCAAGCATATTGTGTATTATATTGTTCACATATTGAAATTAAGAAAAGCTCGGTCGATCTGGGGGATACTTTTTAGCCAAAATCCCCAAAGAAACAACCTGAATTATAAATATATGTATTTGTTAAAAAAAAAGACCTTTGTCTTGTGTGTGTCGAAATTTTGGATGTACGTCCGAAAATAAATATTTAAGGTCAGGTTCAGAATATTTCTGGAATAATAATTAAATAATTGAAATATGTTTAAGAAATCAAATAATATCTGAAAAATACAAAATTTAATAAAAAATCAATTAGAGCAATAAAATGAAGATATTTAATGAAAAATATAATACATTTAATTGAAAGAAAGTAATACAGATTGACAAAAAAATCAAGTTTTTAATATTTCTCTTTCACGTTTAAAGCAAGAATTTAGGATATTAAAATTTTTTTAAAATTTTTTTCATGCCATTTTTGACAGATTTACTTTTAACAGCCTAATTCCAGTATGTTCAACATTTCACATACTTCACATTCTGCGATTCCCTAAGCAATTGTGCGCCGTTGGTGAAGTGTGAATGGAAAAATAAAAAAAGACAGATGATCGGCTTATTTTGGTTCATATTTTCTTAATAAATATGGATATAATTAATTCCGTTGAATTAGAAGCCTGTGTTGATCAAAATAGGCATAAAGTGCTTCAAATACTAGAGTAGTAAGAAGGCTTTGACGATTTTAAATTTTAAAAAATTAACTTTAATAAATGGAATGTTTGAATTGCCAATTAGTATCCGTCTGAAGTTGGCGTAAGTTCAAAATTTGAGTGCCACTTGCATTTGAAATGTTAATTTGATCCGAGCAACTAGTTAGAGAATTCCTGTGTTCCTGAGCTGTTCAAGTTGCCGTTCGTGTTAAATGGCCTGCCCACTCGGCACCAGCTCTGGGCGAATTTATAGCCAGCTCCTTGGCAACTGGAAGTCGAAGTGCCCACTAAATCTGAGACCTCGTGTGGTTCGTTTAATGAGAATTTAGAAAAATCTACGCACGCATTAAATGCATTGTAAATCACGCCTTTTGTCAGCATCAGATAACGCTTGGCATAAATTTAGTTTTAATTGACTTAATGCTTGTACTTTTATCAAATAATTAATTACAGCTCAAAGTGTGGGCAATGCTGACTTGACAAACTGACTAACTGACTAACTGACGGCGCGGCAGCCGCATCAAGTTTTTCATTCAAACTGATTTACGCGACTTTAATAACTTTGCCAGTAAATACATATGTGTACATATAAATAAAGGCATAGTGTGTGTGTGTGTGTGTGTGTTTATGTGTGTGTGTTGACTGCCCGTCCAAGCTCGGGCGCCACATTGGGTGCCACTCAAACTGGTGGAGCGTCATAAGCACAAGTAGCAACAAATCAACCAGGCGACATCATGAGTTGCTCAACATGTTGACATACTGTTTAGGGCTGGAAATCATTTCGAAAGGGATACGAGTTGCAAGTTTCAAATTGACTAACTTTTTGGTCGCGAATGTAGCCTCGAAGTCTAAGACTTCAACAAGAATAACATGACCGAAATTTAATTTTTCGAGTGCCCAAAATATGATGTAAACCTTACTTTAAATTCGAATACTATTTGAGCTACTAATTCGGCCTAGAGATCCGTTTATAACAAAGTAAAAATGTTCTTAGATAAGTAAGTTAAGCTATCGTATGTTCATGTCAATGTTAACAGCAAGTTTAACTGCCACTTTGTGATGACTTTTTATATATTTCGCAGTTCCGAACAAGCTAATTAATATAAAAACCTTTTGATTAAAAATTAATAAGCTCTTTGCGAGTTCTCAACCTGTTCTGTAAATTAAATGCTGTCTTCTGAAACTCTGTTTGATCAACTTATAAAGAGTTGGAGTTAATTAACTAACAAGAACATGGCAAATCACAATGCATGTTAACCTTCTGTCAAAATTAACTTGTAAACATAAGACCTGTTCGTAGAAAAGACTCTAAAACATATATTAAATCAAAAATGATTAATTATTCTGAATAACAAGAATATCATTTATTATTAATAAGACCTGTTCTCATTTAATTTGATTTCAATGCTAACCAGCCATGGTCTGCAATTATAATATTTTGAATTTAATTATTCTTATGCACCAAATACTTGGGTTGACACTCGTTTTGTCGATCATTAATAAATAAATAATAAAACAAATAAATAATAAATCGTTTGCGTTTGCCATATTTTCCAACACTCAGCTCCTTTGCAACACTCAACAAGCATGTTAACTGCTTGTCGAATTCATCTTGTCAACTTTGACAGATAACTGAGAAAATGAATATAATAATTCAGCGGCAAGACGCAAAGAAAACTTTAGATTATTTAACTTCAGATTTAAAGTACAGCAATTTTCAGTCAAATTTTCCAATTTGCTTCTACTTCTTGTTAAACTTAACTTTGACAGCTAACAAGTTTTCGAGTTAAAAAGTTAATATTTGTCAAGGTGACCTATTTGTCAACTAATCCCAAGTTTAACCACTTTTAATTATTCTTAAACAATGCAATTGCTCGCAAACCGTTCCCAATTTTCTTCCACTTGCAGGAAATGAAGTTTATTAAAGATTTGAGAGGTGAACGAGAGAAACAACTATAACAGCTCGTTGAAATGATAATACACAATTTGTAGCCTAATTAACTTCCTGTCAATACGAGCTTGTTGTCAACTTATCTTAACTTTAATTACAATTTTTCCAATACAATATTATTTATTTGCCAGCCCTGGTTGCCGATTCAATGTCAACGATGCATGAACTGCAGTTGGCTGCAAGCCGTTCCCATTCTCCTTGTTGCCCGTTCCAATATTTTCCAACACTCAACACGCGCTGCTCGCGGCTGTGGGCAGTTCTTGGAACTGGCGTCAGGTCTGTGACTGGTTCTAAGACGCTAAGCTACTCCACGGAGCTCGCCACGGAGCTGGCGGGCCGTCGTTTGCGTGGGTGCCGCAAAGTCTGTGGAGTATTGTGAGGCTTTGCAGCGGCAGCGGCGCTAATTGTTAAGTTTTCTATAAATTGCAGTTGTGGCTGCATTTTGTTGCTGTTGTAAACGACTGCATGTCAACGGCGAACAGAGATCAATATCAATATCGGACAGCAGTTCATTTTGTCTTTTTGTTGGGCCAATAAAATTGTATTAAGTGTAATTAGCTGTGTAAGTGAGTTATTTATGTACCCGCAAGGCCCCGTGCAGTGCGTCGCATTTTATTAACCCCCTCCCGCCGCAATGTGGAAGTTTTGATTGATTGATGGACAGAGTGTGGTGCCCCCCTGAAAATTGAAAGTTGTTTTAGACCGTTATTGATATTAACTATTCTGAGGCTCGTTTTGGACTGGCAGGCTATAAATTTTCAATTTATGGACATTTTTGTTGTTAATTTGCGGTTTGATATTTAAGAATATTTTTAGGCAGATTTCAATGCTATGTGCTTATAGAATGTTAGCGACAACAATATAATAATAATACAATAACAATACAATAATAGCAAAACAGCACTTTCTATAAACATTTGCATTATTACGAAACTGGGGCATCGCACATGTATTAGGTATACATTTGAAAATATATACCATCTTGAGTGTACTTGTTGTCTATAGAAAGCTTATTTAAATAAAGAAGTTTGCCTGGGTAAAATTAATTATATACATTTATTGGGGTTAAATTAAGAGAGTCCATATGGGTTGCTTTTATGTAATTGACAATGTTTTTTTAATAAACTTGAGAGCGCAGTGCATTTCCGTTAGTGTGGTGGCCCCCAAGATTTTCTGCCAAATCAACTCAATTGACAGCCTCGGCTGTCATTCTTCGAGAACAGTTTGAACAAAAAAGAGTTGTACGAGGAGTTTATTTTGGTAGTAATTAAATTCAATACGGTTTTCACATTTTTGTTAAAAAGCATTTCCTTTCACTATAGTATTTTAAATTGCACAAGGATTCCTGTTTAATTGTTCAAAAATGTCAAAGAGCTTTTCAAAATCAACTATAATTGCAGAATTATTATAAATTTTTTTTATTTTACC